ATGTTCAATTCTTTTATACTTTGGTTCCATATTCTGATGCTTGTCAATTCCTGTGTTGCAGTTTCCGTTTTTCTGTAAAGACAGAGAATACATAATTGCTCGACGAGTGTGGGAATCAGGAAGATCATACTATTGTGTGACAAAGGTATGAGAAGGAGGTTGACTCTGTAAACTTGTATGTTGTATTGGCTGAGGTTAGATTTAGAACAAGAAAAATACTTTAAAGTAGTTCATACTACAACAAAGATGACTGCTTCAGCTGGCGCTCCACCTTAATGTCATGTTTCGTGCTCAAATTATTCATTTTGATCGGGGCAAATTTTTGTTAATTAAAGGATGGATAAAAGAGATTACTAAAGATAAGTAAAGCTATGAGAACTTCCATTCTACATGTATAAAGATTAAGTAAAGCTTTCAAGAGTTTGTTTAGAAATTGTCTTGCTCTTACATGTTGGTGGTCTGGCAATAATTGGGACAAATAGGAGCAGCAAGGTATTAGTATCCTTCCTCTTGGTGTCTCAAGTCTCAACTAGTTAATTATAGAAGACTTTTTAGTTATTCGGAAATGATTAGGATTCCTGAATCATGCTGCTATGCCACCTTCTTGAGCTCTATATTGCTCTCTAATTTCTTTGGAGTTCATTGAAAAAATACCAAGTAACCATTTCATTTGTTTTCATTGATTTAGGGAGTAGATTGTCCCTCTATCCCAAAACGGGACAAACCAAGACGTGTTGATCTCTATTACTCAAGCTGGTGCATTCGCGCAGGTATATACTTTCTTTCTAGTCAACTAGTAAATCAAGATGACTTGTGAATTTGCATGTGAAGTCGCCCGTTAACTCATAAAGCAGAGTGTTCCCTTTCTGCCCTTGAAACCAGCAGTACTCACTGTAGTGGACAAGTTAGGACTAATTATGTTGTTTTTCTTGACAGTGGAATCCCAAAGAGCTCAGAACCAGTTGACTGCCTGCGAAGTTATGCTTTTCCATCACGAAGAGATGGGCATCCCATGGGAAATTGCAAAGCTTGGAGTTCGCAAAGGGATGTGGACATTGGTCCAGAAGATTGAACCTGGCTTGCGTGCCTACCAACAAGCGAGAGCCGCTGGTGAGCCGATGTCTCGGTCAGCCTTTATGGCTCAGATCAACACTAAGATTAGCACATCATATCTGCAATCCTTAGGAGCAGCGGATGATCAATCTGAAACTGAGAGTTTGACCACGTCTGAGAAACCACAAGGCGTGAACATACCGAAGATGCTCTTAATAGGCGGAGCTATTGCTCTCGCTTGTAGTCTTGACAAAGGACTGGTGACTAAGACGCTTATATTTGGTGTGGCAAGAAGATTTGGTAATCTAGGAAGGAGAACGAAAGTCTAGCACCAGAATCTAGTCGCTGGAATCCTGTTTCTTGGGATGACTGATAATCTCTCTAGTTATCACTTGATCAGGGTATGCTTGGAAAATTGAGACGTTCTATATTGGGACGAAACTGTCATGGAACCTCTTGTTTTTCTAGTTGGACCATGAAAGACCTAATCGGTCCAGGATATGAAAGGCAACATATGGTGTATATACTCGGTAGTAAGTAGCAACATGAGAGTCGATTTTTTATTTTTTATTTTTGACCAGCGAGAGTCGATTTTTTATTAGTTTCTTGTGCAATACCATAGTTTTATATACGTGTAACGGTGAACATATTGCAATAAATCCGTAATGTTCTCTTTGGTTGGTTTAGAGGTTTTCGCGTCTCGTTGATATTTTCACTGCTCTCGTACTGCGGAACTGGGAGCTGGGTGGAGAATTTTGTATTGAATTTTTTTTTTAAAATATTAATACTCTGCTCTTTATTATAAAGCATTTTTAAGAACGATTGATTATTTTTATTAAGAGAGGCTTGATAAGGTATTAATTTTTTTTTATATATTACTCATTTAAAGTTATTAACTATGAGAGATCATATAATAAAAATATAAAATTTTTATAATTAAATATAGGTAAAATAACAAATTTATTCCATGCAAAGGTAATCTTAACTATTCATATCTTTAGTTTTTGTGAGATAATTAGAAATGTTTTGTAATAGAGACGGAGGGAGTGCATCATTTAATTCCAATTGGGCATGACACACCTGGGGCAACTGCCCCCATTGGTATTTACTTCACCGCCGGCCTCTAAAACCCAAGTTTTTTAAATCCTTTTCGGCCAGCGAAAACCCTGCTCTAATATAGTTGCCCCAAGGCTTGCAAGTTGCAGCTGGCAATTCAATTTTGATGCTGAAATGGCTGCCGGTGAGTTGGCTTGTACCTACGCTACTTTGCTACACCACGACTACGGAATCCCAATCGCCGTAAGACTTATTTTTCTTTTTATTTGAAAGCGCCTTCATGTATATTTAGGCGTGATAGCAGAAGTGAAAATAGTAAAGACGAGGATTCTATTTCTAAATTGAACTAAATTCAAATGTTTAATAATTTTCCCTGAACATTTCTTTTTGACCACCAGTGGAGCAATGGAGCAGGCAGAAAAGCGTCGAATGTGACTGTGGAGTCGTACTGGCCTAGCCTGTTTGAGAAGCTAGCGGATGAGCGAAATATTGACGATCTCATTTGAACACTGCTTCTGGCGGCACTCCTGCCGTATCCGTGGCTGCTTCCGCTGCCGAGGAGAAGAATGAACGGCGTTGCTCGCTTTCTGATTATGAATTTACCCTGCTATATGCATATTCTGCGAGACAATTTAATTTCGTCAAATGCGTATTTCTTTGTTCTTTCGTGGTCTTGAAAGAAGCATGCTTCTTGAACGTATGCATTGAGATACACCGGAGGATGCATGAGAAGTTTCTTGCATATAGTGGGGAAATGGTTACTTCATTCATTTGTGTCGATGTTTTGTGCTTTTCTCGATAGGTATATACGTAGAGAGGGCTTTGATGGAGACGAGGATTACTGAAAATTGAGAGCGAATGAAATGAAAGGTAGAAGGAAAAAGAAAGGGGGAAATTTGAGACTTTATAAATGTCGAATATATATGTTTCGTTGGACGTAAATCATGCACGAAAGTAAAGAAATTAAAGTTCATAACAAATCGAATAACCTTAACAAATGAGTTAAGCATTTATCTTTTGCGACACACTTCTGAACCTGTGTTGCTCCGAATTTGTGCTTGCAGGAAGAGCCAAAGGAAAAGAGTGATGATGACATGGGTTTCAGCTTGTTTGATTAGAGTCCGTTCCTGAGGGGTGATCCTATTTAGAGTTTTTATTGTTTAAGAGATTTATTTTTTCCAGCGAAATCAATCTTAGCAACCAATTCATCGTCCTGTTATTGTTTAATCTATTGTCAAACTTTGGTGTTTTTCAATGTTTATTTTTGTTAAAACTTCTCCTCATTGTCTTGATTTTAAGTACTCGGACTTGTTTGAAAAGACTTATAAATAATTTTTCAATTATAATTTATGAAATAAAAGATAATTATGTAAGAAAAAATTTGTCTTGATTTATATGAAATATGTTTATAAGTGACTGCAAACATGATTCCAAACAAGTCTTAGCCGGTGAAAATAGGAGTTACAGTTCTGGCCCATTTTCCTTACTTTTATTGTTCTGGATGGGTAGAAATTGATTTGTCAAGTATTTGCTTACTTATCTCTGCCAAATCTGATCTTTGATTTGCACAAAAAAATTTTGATATTTGATTTAGTAAAATTCAAATGATTCAAATAACAGATTGGTTCATTTAGATTTGCGAGAGAATTATTTTATGGTGAGCCAAAAATTATTATTTTTCAAACAATCAACCAAATTATGATTAAAATCATTATATGCTATAGGATTAAAATAGATCACAGAAAGTATTATATATCATTCATCAGAATAGAAATAATAACATAAATAAAATTAATAATACAGTATTATTAATACCAATAATACAGGGAAGAGAGAAAATAATCTGTATCTTTTAATAAAAAATATGCCCTACATAACAGGGAGGATTTTTTATTTAAAATATTATTAGACTTAACATGTATCATAAAAATTATTCAAATTGAATATAAATAAATGATAATAAATAAATAGTATTCAAAAATTAATTAAATACATTATAATTGATGTTATTAGAATAAAATAAATTAATAGAAAAATATGGAAAACAATACACAAAGAAATATAAAACTGATAATTAATATATCTGCATATTAGGGTTTTTTTTTTATCAAGTCGCAATTTTCCAAACTCTTTAGAGTAGACAGAATACTTTATTTCAGGAAAAAAACTATTTTTGTAACACTCACAACTAAAACCAGGTTAGGCGTGCTCATGTTTAGATAAGACATCCACCGGGGGAATCGAACCTAGGGTTTCTTAGTCCAATATACGTAGTTGTCGGCTACAGATTGTTGCGCTTACTTCGGTTCCACTTCCTAGCCTCTCCCCCTCACCAGGGTTCGATCCCTGATCCGGCGCTTCCATTTCCTCTTCTATTTTGATTTTTCTCTTTGCGTATTAAGTTTCCCTCCAACTCCAACTTCCCGCCTCCCTCTCCAACTGACAATAAGCATCGTCATCATCCGCTACAACAATGGCCTCTCCCTTGCAGGCCGCAATGCTGCTCGGATCGCCTTCATTTCCCAATGCCATTGCCTGGTCTGAGGAGAATTTGATAGCCGTTGCTTCCGGTCACATCATCACCGTTCTGGTGCGAAATCTATTCTCTGACTTTCTCTCTGCATTTTGTCCCGGTTCCATTGGTTCATGCATCCTATGTATTGTGTGTTCTTAGTTTACTAGTGCTTTTATATGTATATGGCTATTTGGTTACTCCACGACTCCTCCTCTCTTTCTCTTCCTTCAATATTACATACTCCACGCAAGACTTAAAACAGAGAAGGCACCTCAATTGCGGTTCCCTCAACCGGGGCACTTCAAAAACAAACCAGGTGTTAAACATTTTAGTTCCAAGCCATCGAACTAGTTCGCCGAAGCAAATAAGCATTAGCTCATTCTCCAACGAAGAAGACAACAAAGTGTGTAGCTGAAGGACGGAACCGTGAGCTCTCGATGACATTTTGACTGTGACGACGGGACAACCGTGAAGAGTTGATTCTCCATATCAATGCTTGAAAGTTCCTTCTGCCGTGTCTGAATTGAAGGTTTTTGCCCTCCCTTCATCTTCTTTCTGCCACCTTCCAGGGCTGAATCCAAGCCCCCCGCCGGGTCTCCTCCCTCGTTGTCAATCATGGGGAGTTATAGACTTGCTACTGATATCAAAATCTGCAAAGCGCTAATATTATGGCCAATCTCGGAGGGTCCTTTTGGCATGTTTGAATCAATGGGTTTGTTGTCGTGAAATATGGTTCAACTTAGTGTTGCATCTTCCTGGAATTTGTTGGTATTAGAGTGCATGTTAATACAGGCAAGGAGACATGGTGGATTGAAATATGGAAAAGGACGCGCCCTGGTCTGATTCACGTCCAAAGCCCTGCTTTCAAGCCGATGTACCTGGTAATAAAAACGAGCTCCCGTTGTTGTTGAAGCCTGTTGTGATAATGTAAGAGAGGGATAGGAGAAAAGTCTGGATGCGATAGTTTCTGAATTCCAAGGATGGCTTACCACCAATAACCTGCTAATAATGTAATCTTGAAAATAATCCCAAACGTTTTGAAGTAGCACAGCTTTTCAGAAAATGATACTAAGAATGAGGAGGATAATGTGGAAGGTGAGAAGATGAGTAAGTGTACTTGAGAGAATGTCACCAAAAGATGGAATCAAGGCTAACCTCCATGCGCTGTTTTAATTAACATACCCTCCCTACCATGGGATTAATCCAAGGGCTGATATTGACGCACTTGTGAGGCAATTGAGGGAACAGCAATTGAGGTGACCTGGATCCCTGGTTAATATGCTCTGCTGCCAAGGTTAAAATGAGAGTTTGCCATTCCTTGGAAATCCTATGAAAAACAAATTTACTTGGTGCACTCTGCATAGTACGTACAGTATGTACTTTTGAGTCAAAGAATGTTTCCCCCCATTTTTTCAGAGACCAGAGTTGCCTCACGGACCACATGGTGTGATAACAGTCTCAACCAGTGAACCTCTTCCCATTGGGGTCGTAGAAAAAAAAGGTATTTGTTTGCTACCTTGTTCGTTACTTGTGCGACAATTGTTGGAGACTTGATAATTTGAAATAATGGCTTGCCGTATTGATGCAATTGCATTGCATGGGAAATTTGTCAAGCAGACTTGTCTGGCGAACTTGCTTTTTTCACTTTGATATGCTTCTTTCAATTTGTGGATGTTAATTTTGTGAACCAACATGATCTTTTTGCCCATAGCAAGTGGCATCTAAAATTCATGGGATATCTTTTATTTTTCAGTTTTTACCACATTTTCCTTGAGCAGGAATATATACGTGTGTATGTGTGTGTAAAGGAGTAAAGAACTAAATTTCTTAAAGATGGAGCCAGACTGATCAATTCCCGTGTATGTCTCATAAAACACTCCTTTTTAATTTTGTCCAGATAAAGCACTCCATAAGAAAGTCTGAACGTTGCCACAAACAGCTCCTAATCACACTTTAAACAAGGTTGAATTGAATCAAGGAGAACCAAAAGATATTCTAACCTTGGAAGACTTACCGCATAATTGTGTGAGCTGTAAAGAATTAACATGCCATTTAAACTGAATTGTGTAGACTTACTCTCTGGATGCCTCCTGCCAACATGTTTGGCCCGAGATGATAAGCCTGTTGTCCGATCATTATCATGGTCTCCACTTGGCTTGGCTGCAAATGCGGGGTATGTACTTTATATTCAACTTTTCAATGATTTTAAGTTTTGGCTTAACCTGATTTTAGAAGGCAGAAGAATGACAAGTTGTTCATTTACAAATCAATAATATTTATACGCATGTAATCAGTATTTATAATTTCACTTGCTATAGGTGCTTGATGGCTGTTTGTACTACAGAAGGAAATGTGAAGGTTTATCGTCCACCTTTTTGTGATTTCTGTGCTGAATGGGTTGAGGTATGTGCTGCAGTAATGGCTTGTCAAGTGAAATTCAAAGCCCCTATAGTCAACTATGGGACTAAGCATTGCAAAGAAATAAAATGTTCTGATCTGATAGAGCTGCTGAATTTATTAAGACCTATAGTAGAAAATCAAGGAAGAAAAGGGGCTAAAAGGGACTGCTGGTTCAGAGGAATTATCCTATGGGTCCTGGTTGTAAGAAAAAAAATAATTCATGGCCTAGTGATGTGTTAGAGTCTGTCTAAGGGTATGTTCAGTCTTTTGTGACGTTTTGGGGTCTTTAAACCCCTCCCTTTTGTCCAGAGAGAGGCAAGTTCTGTGTCTGAAATTGAGAATGGTGAGGAGAGCTCTGGCCTCTCAAATTACAGGTTGGGGGTGGAGGAAGATCATATCTCTTCATCATTTTCTGTGTCTCATTTTGAACGAGACCTTCTGATTAACAACATATCTAAGGATTTCGTTGTTGATAGAGTACAAGGGTGTCGTACGATTCATGTAGCCGATTCCACCTAGAGGGATAAGGCTTGTTGTCGTATATAAATTAGTGTTGGACATCTACTTTTCTGCTTGGTCTCTATAATAATCACTGCTGTGTTTGTGTATCTTATTGAGAGTATAATGCTCCTTTCTCTTTATTCACTCTAGGTTTTGGACTTAACAGAAAGGCTGTTTGGATATCTCCAATGTGCTGGTTTTGGAGATCTGAGTATAGTAAGTTGTCTTAATCATTCATTCTCACTGTCAGTTTTTACTCTGTAACTCTTCTTGTGGAGTCTTAGTTGACATGACATTGGTCATGTTTATAATCTATTTCTTCCTGATTACATTATCAACATTGTGACATCCTCTGTTGGGTGCAGGTAGCAAAGCAGAAACCAGCTGACGATATGCTAGACACTGTTTCAAGGAAGGGACGTAAGAAAAGAAAAGTGTACGGAATTAATGCATTATAATTAATCTATGAATATATGTATAGTAAAATCTATAGTAACTCACGCTATTTAAAAGTCGTGAATATTGTTGCTTATTTCTCAAACTTCATGTAATACATGGTAAAAAGTGTCTAGTTTATTATGCTATGCAACATTACGTTCAAAAATCAACTTTTAACTCTGTTTTAATACTTGCGTGGCAGCAATTATGTCTCCAGCGATTCTGGGAATCCATTGTTATTGCCTACAATTAGTACGGATGGAAACTCTTGTTCTAGCCCCTGTAATGATGTGGAAGGACAGAGAGTGACTGCAGTATGGGACTTTTTTTTTTTTTTTAAAAAGATAAAATTAAGAATTAATCTTTTTGTGTGTTTTTCTGTTGTATGAACAAAAAGTGAATTTCATCACTCTCCTTTGCTGGGTGATATAAAGTACAAATTATGCTTGCCAATAGTTGTTCTTTCATCCTTACAGCATTGAATTATTTTAATCCATGGTTAAACCCTAGCGGAAACACTCATGTTGCTTGTTGTTTCTTGATTTCAGATGTCTGAGATTATAGGACCAGACCTCCAGATAACTGCATCAGATCAGGTGGAATCCATGTCTGAATATAACGAGAAATCCTTGGAAAAAGTATCTGAAAACCACATGTTGCCACTGATTACTACTGATCAATATGCTTTGCGAAGCGCAATGCTATATGGACTTGTTGTTTCTTGGTCTCCATTGCTGCATGAAACACCTGAATTTCAGCCAGTTCCTAATACCAATGCATCTGTTAGTCTACTTGCTGTTGGAGGAAAGAGTGGTAAAATTTCTTTCTGGAGATTTCACATATCAGATTGCTATACTATTCAGGACAGCAACATTCGGACTGCCGTGGAGTTGGCTGGATTTTCACAGGCACATAGTTCATGGGTTACTTCAATAAGTTGGGTGTTATTTCCTTCTGATTTCTCAAATCCACAAATTTTGTTAGCTACTGGAAGCTCTGACGGGAGGTGCGTCAGGCATGCTCATTAAAATGTTATATTTATGTTCTTCGTTATCTGATTTTGCTGAGGTAAAAACAAAGTCCCGAGGTTACATGCTGTGATCAATTGATTGTCCTTAAACTGCATCATCTTAAGGAAAAATGAAATGCTTCTAATGCTATTAAAATAAATTTATCTGTTTCAACATTCATCCATTTTCCTTATAGATTCTGGTTAATCATCACTAATTGGTTTTCTGAAATTATTAACAGCCTGACTTGGAACTTGTGATGTTAAATCTTCATGTTCTTGTTAAGCTAAAATGGTGTCATTGATATTCTTGATGTGGAATCATATGAACAAGGTTCAAACATCACCACCGTATTCTCATTAACTTTTTAGTTCATGGTTTAAGTTGGTTTGTTTTTTGCTGATGCTTCAAGCCCCCCAAAAAAGCCTGTTGTGTGATCAGGCTTGGCAGATAAAAACCATTATTAGGCCTGTACATTACAGCTTAAGCCTCTAGCTAAGAATCTCAGGTCTAATAACTCATCCAGTTAATAACCCTAGTGCCGCAAGCATTACTAAATTTGTTCTGTGACTGAAAATATTGACTTTATAAAGTACCATATATTATTGACTAATCACAGTTGTTTTTTCCTCTAACAAGTTAAATCTTGTACTATCTATATAATTTTATATTTACTTCTAGTGATGAAGCTAAGCTAAAAACTTCAGATGCTTGGATCTTGAAACCTCCTTGACGCTCTGGCATTTGTGTCAGCGCGTACAGTTTTACCCAATTTTATATTGTTTCTCCACTCATTTCATTTACCCTATGGGTTGGCAGTGTGAAGGTTTGGCTGGGTAACAATGACAAATTACTGAAGTCATCAGAAGCGAATCAAACTCTATTTTCTCTACTGAAGGAGGTACTTCCTACTTATTTCCTGCAGCTCTTTTTGTTTGATTTTTCTTCTTTATGGATAATACCTATAGCCATAATTCAATCTTTGTTTTTTAAATAGGTCATAACAATCAATGCTGTCCCAGTTTCTGTACTTTCAGCAACAATGCAAATTCAGTCTTCTGAGATGCTCTTAGCCATTGGCAAAGGTTCTGGCTCCTTTGAAATATGGCTGGGTGACTTATCCTGTAATGAATTTCATAAGCTCGGATCCTATGATGCACATGATCATATTGTAAGTATTTTTTTCCTTGAGTTCATGAGGTTGCATTCCCCTGTGGTTTCTACATTTTAATATTTTCTTCAGGTTACCAGTTTGACCTGGGCATTTAATGGAAGGTGTTTGTGCAGCTGTAGCCAGGTAATAGTAGTTAAGGCTATATGTTCTTCCATAGTTGCTTTGCAGGATCATTTCCATTCAACTAAATGAGTTTTCTTAATCTGTTTCATTTTATGCCTTCCACAGTGGTGTTCTTTTTCCAATTCTTTATTTGTTCAGACCTGATTTATTTACAGTCTCGCTTCAATTTGAAAATACACTTAGAGAGGGGACGTATTAGTGGATGACTAATTTTCAGGAAATTCAACCTAATAACTGCAGCTGAAAGTCAATTTCAAAGAAACCATATGAAATTGATGGATGCTTGTTTGAAATGATTGTAGGACAATTTAGTACGCAGCTGGATTCTTCATGAGAGACAACTCAATGAAGTTACCATCTGTTCTGACATCCTCAATAGTAGCAATCCAACTTGTGTAATCACTAGCGTCTTATATACCTCTTATCCTTGATTGGGAATAAATTTGTTTTGCTTGACCAAATGTCTTTTGCTTTGTCGCAGCCTTCAACAGATTTGTATGCTTCATGTTTTGGTGCAGCAGCGTCCCCCGGAAACCTTGCCATTGCTACAGTATGATATGCTACTTCCAAAATATATATATATATATATTTTTTCTCTTTTCAAGTTTGATGAGAAAAATGTTGTGATTACCATTTCTATTACTGTTTTGAGAATTAATGATACTTATACATGTTATTGTTATTAGTTCATCAGAGTAATCATTGTCCTTTGTTAAGAGAATTAATGATTATGGGCCTTCGTCACTTAATAGCCTCACTATTATTATACCATATATACATCCCTCGTTTTCTCAAAATCGACCTTAATGACAATAGCCATATTATGCGAAGTTTCACTGTCTGATTTTGCTTTATCATTGCAGGTTCGTTGCTTTGATATTGAGAAACTGAACAGAATGTATGAAGCAAGGTAAAATCATATTTTCCAGGTTTAAGTTTTTTGGGCCCTTGCTTATCTTTTTTCTAAATTTAAGCAGAGTCTTAATTAAAAATCTATTAATAAGAAAATTAACATTTTCTTATGAATATTGACAGGGTTTTGAGGGCAGCTATTGAATACTTTTGGATTGGTGGGCAGCAAATGGATGTTCAGTCAAGATTACCCTTTTCATATGCGGCTGAGAAATATTCCAGTTTGCGAAAGAAAGAATTATCTCACTGGGGATCCAACATCATTTGCATCCTTGAGCAATATCATTGCCTTGATAAGCCCCTCGTTCTTTGGGATATAATTGCAGCATTATTGGCTTTCAAGGAGAACGATTCAATATATGTAGAACATATACTGATTAAGTGGCTGTCAATGTCCTTTCTGGGATCCCATACGGACCTTCCTGCTGAAAAGGTTTTGGCAAAGGTCTCTTCAAATTTGTCAGATATTCCTTCTCGCCTGCTTCACCTGCTCAACATAGTCTGTAGACGTGTGATGATAGCAGAACTGGATGTTGACGAAATAAATAGAATAAACAACAGCCTTCTAAACTCAGGAGGGTCAACTCTTTCCGAGGAAAAGCAAGTAACTAAGTGGGTGGAGATTCTTCTGAGAAGTGAAAGAGAACTCCGTGAAAGGTTAATAGGTTTTAGTTTTTCTGCTTTCCTAACCAACCTATCCTGTGCAGAAGCAGCTCCTTCCCAGCCGGGACATTGGTATCCTTTTGGAGTAACACAGATGAAACAATGGGTGGAATTAGATCGGGATAATGCACGTGACCGATTGAAAGTCCTTGCATCAGAAGTTACAAATGAGAAAAGGTGCAGGTTGCTAGTTCGGCCTTAGTGTTTTAAATAGTGCAGATCGCAGATCCATTTTTTGCCACTTGCCATAGTGATTTAATTGCTTTGTTCATACACGGGGACTTGTTGGAGCCGGAAGCTAACCAGATATGTCTATATGACTAATATGTTTCATTTTGCTTCCAAAGAAGATGCTGAAACGCTGCATAATTTTAACATAAATTATACTTTATTGCAAGCTTTCTACTCGATGAAAAATGATCCTTAGAATGTGAGCATATTTAGGAGATCATTACCTCAATTATTTCTTGTATATCCATGGTGAACTTCGGAAGTTTCTTTCTATCTGGGAGACTTCTGGCCTCTGACTGTACAGAATTCTGCATTCCCTTTCTTCTTCCCCTACTCATGAGCCAACTTGTTTTGCAATCAATGAAGCATGAACATATTTAAAATGCTTTCCATGCATGAACTTTTAATTTGCTGATCCATGGTGGATTTTGGCTGCGAACTTGTTATTAAGTTTGTAAGAATCAGATGACGTTTTTCTTTGAAGAGGCATTTTAAAACTTCATAAATGCTAATTACAGTGTTGTATATCTGGTCCACGTAACAGGCTTCTGTCCGATGAACATTTAGCAGCGGAGCGTTGCAGTTTTTGCTCAGCGTATGTTCCATTTGAATCACCTGAGGTTGGTTTTTGCTCAGGTGAGGAATACAGTAGTGGCAAAGGCCAGCGTCACAGGTTATTGAGATGTGCCACCAGCATGCAGGTTTGCCCCATTGCTCCGCTATGGTTCTGTATATGTTGCCGCAGGTCAGCTTTTAGACTGGCGCCAGATGCACTCTTTAGAATGTCTGCATATCCTGTAGATTTTAAATCTTCCACCAACTCATGTACCCTAGCAGTGTCCGCAAAACCCTGGTGTCCCTTTTGTGGGATACTTCTACAGAGACAACAACCGGAATTTCTACTTTCGCCAACTTATGTATGAGAATGATTAACTGCTTTTGCTATATAAATTATGTTATTATATTTATAATGGCTATGACGCTTGCTTTCGTCTTAGCGTTCTGAAAATGAGTTGCACTCTGTGCACCATCGATTCGATACACTAAACACAATCTCTCTCCCCCCCCCCTTTTCTCTCTCCCTCTCTCACACCCACACACAACCTTTTTGACTTTCTGACTTTGGCCGGGGGAAAAATAGAGAATGAAGAGGTGACACATTTCCTTAGGATCTATATGTTAAGCAAGCTCGGTTTAAGGTGTATACAAGCTTGTTGAATGTAATCGAATATGAGAATGGAAGAAATCCCCTGTTTGGGTGGACTGTTGGACTCCTTATAAATTGCAGCGTATCATCATTTGCTGCGGAGGGAAAAGCAGACTGGGAAAATCATAAATATAATTATCCATGTAGCTGAGTTAGATTGAATTGACCGGCCAGTGGCAGACGTTGAACCGGATTCATTGAGATGAGGTTAGGGCGGTCAATTTCAAACATTCTTGGTCAAAGGTGTCATCAAGTGCCCTTTGAATACAACGTTGCTGCTCAATTGACTTTCCTCACCATACATAGCCTCTTCAACTCCATCGTACATTTTTAATAATTTTTTTAAAGGATAGATAATATTAAGTTATTAAAAAAAAAAAGTTAACGCAAATAACCGACACGGTGCTCTTGCCGCCCTGAGGTGTGTGCCCCGCGAGGCTATTGATATCCCGTCCAAAGGCAAGCGCGAGGGCCATGGGAACAGAACAGAGACTAACAGAGCCGGGCCCATTCCCCCCACCCCCGGCCCCCAAAAAAAAAAAAAAGCAAAAACAAAAGTGCTTATATTCAGATTGCGGTGTTACCAATTAGCAGCGTCATGCTCAGACCCCGTGGATATGTTACTTCATTTGGAAATAATATTATGACATTTTAAAACACCCTTACAATTTTGTAATTAAACAAGGCGGTGTTCCATAACTTTATCAGTATATTAAATATTCTTGCAACGTACATCAGGGGCTCGGAAGGCACGAGCATCAGATTCATGCATATCTACATCTCCTACTTTTACATATCTACATCTCCTACTTTTTGTAACCCATTAAAAACTAAAAAGTCACCTGATTTTCGTCGAGAGACGACAAAATGGGAGCAATAAACACACCCGATTTTAAAACTCATTGGTTATTAAATATTCCTCGTTAGCCTTAGGCCATTGTTTTCAGCGGCAACGTCAATTCGGAACATAAAAATCGAGTATTTTGCTTTGGATTTTAACTTGAGTGTGTGTGTGTGTGTGTATATATATATATATATATTCGCATGGAGCCCAATGAAGAAATTCGAACACCAAACGTGTTTTCTCGTGCCATGTCACTATGTTGATTTTAAACAATCTTAATCATCCATTTCGTAGACAAAATTTATTTAACCCTTACATCGCTGCATGAGCTGTACATGGAGGTGTGATTAATATGCTTTATTATACTATGGGTCTTGACTTTTATGGTGTACAGAGATGGTTATCCTCGTAACCCCGCCGGGGCTTGCAATGTTCTCCGCACTTACATAGCTACCATCAACGTGGACACAGAACGAAAAGTAAATGAAAACCAATCGGGCGTTTAATCCAATTTATAAATAATATTATTAAAATATAGTTTATCCACTAGCAGCAAGTCAGCTGTGGGCCCATATTGTACGATGGCGTTTGGGAACGGAAAGCTTCACGTTTCTGAATGCCACGGAGCGACACGTGGATGCATTAGGAAGCGACTACTTATGTTTGGTTTGGTTTGGCAGGTTGAAGTTCAGCGCCGAATTCGTGATTGATTATCGCCGGTCGTGCGAGATTGAGATGGGCCCTGCATCGGCCCCACCCCCCAAAATAACGACAAATCTAACTGACACGTGGCACTTGTGGATCCGTGCACGATACTCACCCTCCCATGGGCGCTCCCCTCCCGTTCTTCCTCGGCTGCCCCTCCCATTTGCCTCGGCCAACATCCCCAAAGTTGGGAAAAAAAAGAAAAAAGGATCCATGTATCCCCATATTCTAAAACTTAATCTTGCCGTGAAATATCTTAGTAGGTAAAAATATTTCCCATTGATTTATCAGCTGAGCACCTCGTTTAACTCTCAAATACTCCTCCGGTCCTTATTATAAGACCCAATTTGACTTTTTATTTGGTCCTAATTATAAGACCCAATCCATTTTCTCTCTTTATTTATGCATTTTTTTCTAAGATAATCCTTTTAATAATGATAGTTTTAGCCAATATACTTAATTAGCAAGGATATTTAGGAATAACAACACTTATTTATTATAAATAACCAACTTAACTTACTTCCTTAATCTCCTTAAATAAGTCAATTGGGTCTTATAATTAGGATAGTAGTATTTATTTTCTGATGTGTTTTAGGCCCACTTAAACTGATTCTTATTTTTGACGATGTTGATGGATTTAGAAGAGAAGGGAAAAACATTGGTGCAGTTGTCATATCACGATCAGATATATATTCCACGGCATATATTCTTCAACTTATTTTATTTTTTTAAAAATCCATTTTATAATATCCGGGATGCGTTCCCCCCACTTGGATCCACAATATAATTTTAATTGAATCACTTAATATGAATAAAAATATTAGTTAAAAAAATAGGTATAGTATTAAATTAAAAATATAAAGAATTTGTAAGCCCCTTAAAATATTGATAAAAGTTTAGGTATATAGAACAGCAAAATAAGGAGCGTATTGCCAGGAGAAACGTATTCATACTGTGGATGAGGGGAATATTTATTAATTAATAATTAATAAAAGGGCACAGCTTAATCTATACGATTAATGACATGATTTTCCACCATTAAATAAGGCGGCCTTTGACAACTGATATAAATTATAATATTCCACTTTTATATACTGTGAACTGCGTCAAAACTCAAAAGCACCTACACCAGGAGCCCCCAACGTCTTCTCCTTTGCATTCTCAGCTTGCTTTATTATTTGACCAAATTATCATTTCCCCTTATAACGATGTTAATTCAATAAAATGTGCCCAACAAATATTTAGGCTAATTTTTGGTATTGTATGATAACATTACGTCAAGTTCAGGAATTATTACCCCTACCAGGTATCCCTTTTTTTCTCCCCACTGCACCTAACCACTGACAATATACATATATATATATATATATATATTGGTTCTTTTTAAAAAGGCATGCAAATGCGATTCTTGAAGCCAATATTATCTATGAAACCCGGGGTTAATTAACTTTAACTCGGCTTTACCGTGAATTACGTTGCTCGTGGATGATGTGTTTAGGGCATCGGGACATTTGCAAATGGAGGGCATTTACCCATTATTATTATTATTATTATTATTATTATTATTATTAAACAATGAATAATAAATTATTAATATTTGGGCAAAAGGGTATTCACATTTCTCTTGCTACGTGCATCATCATCAGTTTGGGACGTTCTCAGGAAGGTCCAAAAAGCCACTGCAGCGAAAACGGACGATCCGAAGAAGGCCCTTTTCCGTTCCTCTCCCTCTCCCCCTCTCTCTGCGCCTCTTTGTACAATAATCTTTCTCTTCTTCAGTAAAATTAGTGACTCAAAGCTTGCTCTCTAATATTTACCTGTCTCTTCATAATTTCTGCAACTGTTTATCCATAATAATCGTTTCTTTCTGGGCTTTTAAACTACCGGAACAAGACGGTTTTCGAGATCGGTTTGATCTTTTGTTAATGGGATTTTGCTAGATTAAGCCAGGTATGCCTTCTTTGTTCAAATACGACTTTCTTGGTCGTTCCTGTCTTTCATTTCCCTGCTAATGTAATCTCTCGATGCTTATCTCCTAATCAATTTTATACGCGATAAAATTCAGATAATTTCGAAGAGGCCAAAAAGATCAGCTCTTTTGCGTTTGGTATTTATTATGGCGGTACCTGAGAATGCCGGAGCCATAATCGGTTCATCCAGTCAAAATTTGGACGACAGTGTAGTGTCATCGGACTCAACTGTGACCAATGAGCTGGAGAAATCGAAACCCAGAACCGAGGCTATTGTAAATGGTTTAGAAGCAGACGTTCAACCTGTCAACGGCGATGATCAGTGTCTGAATGATGTGTTCGGCCATCAGGATAGAGCTCCGTCGGTCCCTAACGGCAATTACAAGTCTCAAATCACTCAGATGCGAAATGGGTTCGAGGCAAATGGGGTTCAGAACCAGCAGATGGTGTTAAATAATAGCGGCTACGGAATTAAGCAAATATCTAACGGAGTAAGGAACGATGGAGAGGGTGGTGAGAGTTTCAAGCGTGATATGAGGGATTTGGAAGAGTTATTGTCAAAGCTGAATCCCATGGCCGAGGAATTTGTACCGCCATCTCTTACCGTTAATCACGGATTCTTAGGTGATGCTGGGTTTAGCTACCCTAACAACTTTCTACCCCAAACTAATTATGGCAATGCAAATGGACATACTAACAGAAGGGTAAGATTAAATATTTCGAGGTTTGAAGTTACATTTATTCTTGAGGGCAAATTTTATTTTTATATCGGTTGGTTAGCTCACTATAATGCTCTCTGAATTCACCCGAGAGTTGTAGCTCGTACTATGGTTTTGGTTTTAAGTAATATCATGCTATCAGCGTATGAATATCTTCTTCAGCTTATTATGATAATGCATTGCAGAGGAAGAATGGATACAATCAAGGGAAGCGAAGAGCTGATAATAAAATGGATTTGGAGAAGAGAGAAGACATGATCAAGAAGACTGTTTATGTGTCTGATATTGATCAACAGGTAAGATTCATATCGGGTTTGTAAATTCTCTCATTTCAGCTGGCTAGAGTGTCTTTTTTGTTTTTCTTAATTTCTGTGCCTTCATCTAAAGATTGTGTTTTCTGTTGGCATCTAGGTCACTGAAGAGCAGCTGGCAGCTCTCTTTCTTAACTGTGGACAGGTAGAAACGGTTCTGTTTTCATTGCTTTTTTTCCTCTTGATAATGCCGACCATGTTATTGAAACCGCTCCTTTTTCTGGGCCCAAGGTTGTTGATTGCCGAGTATGCGGAGATCCTAATTCTATACTTCGTTTTGCCTTCATTGAGTTTACGGACGAAGGCAAGTTCACTAACTTATTTCTGGTATAAAGTATAGAAATGTAGTTTGCTCTATATTAATTAATAGTGGTATGCTTGCAGAAGGTGCGAGGGCTGCTTTGAACCTGTCTGGCACCATGCTTGGATATTACCCAGTGAGAGTGCTGCCTTCAAAAACTGCTATCGCACCAGTTAACCCCTCATTTTTGCCCAGGGTAATGATTTGCTTTGGCTTGTCCTGTTCCATGTTCTCTTTGCATGGGAATTAAAGCTCAGATACTTAAACCTAGAGGCTAACTGGTCAAATGGCGCTAAAATGTCGCATTTCTCTGACTTGGCTCTATAATGGTGTTGTGTTTTATAGTCTGAAGATGAACGGGAGATGTGCTCAAGAACAATTTATTGCACGAATATTGACAAGAAGGTAGTGTTGAATTATACTTAATTTAGGTAGTGTTGAATTATACTTAATTTGAGAATGTTTCTATACTCAGGTTTGTCCACTTCTGGTTTTCCAGCAAATGGGTGGCTCAGATCTTTAACCTTTCTTGTCGACAATGCAGGTCACCCAGGCAGATGTTAAACTCTTCTTTGAATCTCTTTGTGGAGAGGTTTGTAGCTTTTCATGTTAATAAGTTTATATTGATATTTATTGGCTGAATTTGAGCATCTCATGAGATTTCCCTCCCATTATTTTGGATAATTCATCTAGGTTCAACGCTTGAGGCTTCTTGGAGATTACCATCACTCAACTCGCATTGCATTTGTTGAGTTCACTATGGTAATTGCTCACTTTTGGACTATTTCATCTGAATCAGCTCGGTGTACTGTGATACTCATACATGTCTATCACGTTGTTATTTTTTGCTTTCAATTTCTTACTGTGGCTGATTGTATGATTGATTTCATTTCCACCCTCACCATAGCAGGCAACAGTACTTGCTCGTTTATAAAGAAGAATCAATAAGAAAAGCAAAGATGAATCTTGATAATATATTGTTTGGATTATAGGGCCTCTTCTGCCTCGACTCTATATATGTATGCATAGTGCATTAGAGGGTGAATTTTCACATATCACAATTGTTGATACATTATTTTTGACAGCCGTTCTGCATGTTTGATAAGTTTTGCATAAGCTGTGTTATAGCCAAATGTAGTCATTTAATTGGCTTGTTGCTTTTTCTTCTGGGTTATATTATATTCAACTCGACGTGTGATGGAAGAGAGATGATTGCGTGCCCAATTTTATTCATTCATGGTTTGAATCTAGGCCTTATAGGGTTAGTTAATTAGTGGCTTGCCTATGAATATCTGTACTGTGAGGTACAGGTGGAAAACTAGTTTTGTTAACGTGTCATGTTCTGGACTCTGGCCACAAGTAATGCAGTAAGGTTGCCTGTAGCTGGGGCAACTTAAAGGAGGAAGGAAAGGATAAATTTCATGTTAATATCCTGTGGGTAAGGTCCTAAGTGACAAAAAGGTGGTTGATGGTTATCCCCCAATTTTTAAGAGTCAAACAGTTGTTTATGCTTAGTTACTTATTACTGTTAGCTTGAAATGTGTTTCAGTATGATGCTCTGTTAATGCAGTTGCCCGGAAACTCTTATCTTTCTGATATATAAGGTTCAAATTTACATTGGGTCTTGGAAGGATATAGTGGTTTTTAGGTTCCCTTGGTGAGGAACATTTTGGTGTAAAGGAATCGGATGGTGATGATTCTTGTTTCAGCTGCTTAGGTTGGGCCTTTTCTTACGTTCACCCACATAAATTAATGAGCTACGCCGAGTTTTTTGCTCTGGAGCTGGGCTAGCACTCACTTTGGTGCCTGCGACCTGTTCAAATTTGTTGCTAGCCCAGTATTTTTCTTTCTTCTAAAAAAATATGTGTACTTTCCTTTTTTGGCAAATTTTTATTTTGTTGAATGCAACAAAAACTCCCCCACATTAACATGCCATTAACTTTTTTCGGAGGGGTTTCTGGATTTTTTGTGTTAGCAGTGGTTTTATACTCTGTTCCCTCATGTCAAATGTTGATTACAAGTAAATCTGTGGTTTGAGTCCTGCTATTTCCGTTAATGAAATGTTTGAGTGGTGGAAGGATTAATAAATGGTTTGTTGAATATATCTTTTAAAATGAAATCTTTTTTGCTTTTGATTCTCAGTCTATTTCATTATTTTTGGATTACTATTTGTTTATCAATTGTACTTAATTTGTCTGGTTGTCTCAAGATTTTACGTGCTCAACCCTGCAGGCTGAAAGTGCAATTGCAGCTCTGAACTGTAGTGGTGTGATTTTGGGTTCGCTGCCTATCAGGTTAGTCCGACAGATCCGTCCCTCCCTCCCTCCCTCTCAGTTCTCATGTTCTTTTTTCCCTGCTAGGTGGAGTGTACGTTAGCATGAAAGTAGTGTCCGGCATTATCATTACCTTTTAGTTTCAAAATTTTTACCCCCCCCCCCAAACAAAAAAAAAGGAAGAAAAGAAAAAGAAAAAGAAAACCCAAAAAAAAAAAAAAAAGAATTCATGTACTGATATTCTGATGAAGCTATAGTTCATGGGGTACAATGTGCTTTTTCCCTTTTGTCAATGACAAAGCCTCCTGCATATCTGTGGATCTTTCTTCAACCATTTTTATGTTTTGTGCAGGGTAAGTCCATCGAAGACACCTGTTCGGTCTCGTGCACCACGTGGGTCAATGCACTGAGTCATGCTTCCATGTCTCTTGGGTTGGTTGCATTTTTTTTTTTTTAATATGTTTACATACATAGATAGGAGCAAATATTGTCCAAGGTATCTGTGGTCTTTAGTCTATGCCCGTGTCCTTGAGTCTTGGTGTATGGTCTCCGTTAACCCCAGGGGTTATGGATTACTTGTTTAGCTTGTAGAGTTGGATCTGGGATGGCACTTCGAGGATCTTTGATGGCTTAATTTATGACACTCAATCTGATGGATTCATCTTTGAGACGAGAGAATTTTATGGTTGGATGTCTCTTTAACATCTGGAATTTTCTTGGAGAAAACATGATAGAAAGCCGTTGTTGTTTCTCGTGTCGTGAGCTGTTTCCCGGGCGCTTGGATATTGCCTTGAATCTACGTACTCCTCTTATCCACAATGCAGGTCTTGCTCACCGAGCTTAGCCTGGCCTAAAATATAAGTCCAATTTTTAATAATATATAAAGTAGTCAATATTTGTTTTTCTATATTGCCCTCATACACAAAGTAGAAGTAATTACTTCATTATAATTAGCATTGACGTCTGTTACGGACATATTTGAAAAGTTCTACAAATTCTTTACATGATTATTGACCGAACAAGACATTTGAATTATGAAATCTCACTATCTAGGGGTGGAAATCTATTGCCATTTCCAGACAACTCCTTGATGGATTGTAGGAGACCTGTCTCTGCTGTTTGACGTCTTTGCATGCCCACCAACCGCCAGCAACTGCCGCTTCTCGTCTCTCCTCTCCTCTCCTCTCCTCTCCAGCATACACATTCCTTTGTACTTAACCTCAAGTTCTCTATTCCAAAAGAGAAAAAACTTGAGTTTTCAATGCGGCAAAATTTCAAGTTAAAAAGTGAATATTAATGAGGCTCTGAAGCAGAAGGGCAAAAACGGAAAGAGAGAGAGAGAGAGAGGCTTTGCGACACATTCTGTTATTGGGACAGTTAATCTGGTAAGTTTTATTTTCTTCTTCCTCATAATAAGGAGGGTAGAGCCCATTCCGTAAGTCTGGCCTTTTCTTTCATAATTAAGAAGTTTTATTAATTTAATTAATTTAATTAATTTCATTCCAATGTAGTAAGTTTGTTTTAATTGGCATTATATTTTGACAGCTCTAATTTCATAACAATCATGATTCCAAGATGCTGGTTAAAAAAAAAATCATGATTCCAAGAAAATCACCACGCGTCATAATTGAATCGATAATTTTACCGCATTAATGAATGAATAGTTTTCAGTTTTCACCCCCCGCGAATCAGCAACACCATCTCTGTTTCTGGGGTACTATGGGCCCTATGAGACCGGACTACTAAAGCAAAATCGCCAAGTAATCGCACTTTTACTGAGAACGGAATTAGAACTACCGTCTCTAGAAGAGTATGGAAATATTTTTTCCCTTCTTTTTTTTTGTGCCTTCACTTTTTTTTTTGGCCTCTGCATGAAAGAAAAGTATGACTCGAATCAAAAATTGTAAAGCGTACCATAGGTTTTATTAAGAAAACTTAAACATTTAATTTCTAGACTATTTTTTTTTTATGCATAGATAAAAAGCACATTACCTATATGCTATAATAACATAACATTTTCCATATAAGATATAAATGTTAAAGTATTAATTTTTCAGTTTTTAATGACGAGTTTTGAATTCTTTTACATTCAAGGTATTGTGCGTTAATTAACTTAAATTTTTTATAATATAATTCTTGATTTCACTCGGATGTTTCAAGAAATTATAAATTTTCTAAACGAATTGGGTTTATTTTTTATTTTATATTTTCTTCACCAATCAATATAAATTTAAATATGTAATATAAAATTTATAAAAAAAGAGTCATTATTCATAAATTATAATTAATGTTATTTCTCTGAAGTGCTGTGTAAATTTTTTATTCTAATAATTTTTCTCCACATATCCCCTCTGAAATGACAAGAAGAATCTTGGCTATCCATTCTCCACACTTGGGAAGTTCCTGGGTGATCTCATTTATTTATAGAAAACTTAATCTGTAGAGTGCGTGTGTAGATATAAAAAGCACACCCATCTTTCTATATCCAAAACTGGTCTTAGTTCATGCCAGGTAGGATTACCTTTCTAATTAACAGTCAGAACAGGGAAACACAAGTATAACCCAGAACTGATCTCAAAATTAAAAAAAGAAAAAGAAAAAAAACAAGAGGGAATTGGAAAATATGAAGAATGATGATTTTAAAAAGGACACAAATTGCAAGACAATGAATCCGTGACTCATTTTATCAACGAGTGGCCTCTACAGATAAGATCCCCTGTTCCATAAGTAAAATCTCCTTGCTTGCTTAGTTTGTCAGCTCTGAACCACCTTTCTTCGTCCCCATCATTTTGATCTCTTCTCAGTAACTTGAGTTCAAGATTTCTGCTCAGAGGAAGTTCCGACCACTCCTGCTGCAGGAGCAGCACCCCCTGTTCCTAGAAAATACTTAAGGTGAGGAAAACTTGAGGGAGCAAGAAGAAGATAATGCATATTTATATGTAGCACGGTTAGATGGTGAACCTGTGGTGGGTATTGGAGGCGAAGCTGACATAGGTTGTGATAAGCCGACGAGTCTGAACAATTCCCGAGATGAAGGGTCAGGGTATTGTGCCTTTTTCAAATATGCTGGTGCAACCAACTGTCCAACCCCATCAAACGGATGGTAATACACTGAAGGCCAACGAATGGGAATTTGCTGTCCTCCATAGACATTATAATAGTTCTGTTCAAAAACAACATAGTCCAAATCAAACACTTTCCAACTTACAATGTACCTGTTTCCTTTTTTAACTTTGCTCCATACTATGTCTTCTTTCTAGCTGGCCAATCTCAAGATAAATAAAAGCCAACCGCCATGTTGATCTTGTTTTAGCCTAATCAAACTGGGCTAACTCCTTTGGCTAAATGTTCTGTTACTGAAGGAGATGATATGTTTGTGCAAATATACTAGTTAGAACTATGAAGCACGTGTCCGCTTAAATTTGGGTATTCAAGACTTGCATGAAGCAGCTACTTTATGAGCAAACTAACCATTGCGTAAATTTGTTCTGTGGGCGGATGTCCAGGATACCTGAATATTGAAAAGAAAATGCTCATTAGGAATCTAAGTAATTTGTGGGGGACAAACATTACTTTTAAACGTCTCGATTGTTTACTTGACTGGTGGATAAGTAAAAGCATACTGGGGTATGTGTTGATTGTAACAAGAGGAGATTCCTTGAACCGGAACCGGAACCACGGGCCAAGAAGTTGTAATAAATTGCCCCTTTCCTGCAACGGCAACTGCAATTTCTTAGAGAACATGTTTGCAGGTAAAGAATATCTGGCACTACAGTGATGAAGACGAAGCAACAAACCTGTTGCATGTGGATTGAATCTTTGTGCACCAAGAGCCGCAAGATTACAATTAGCTCTCCTCCCATCAATCATAGGGTAGGGATTCTGACAGGCTCTTACTGCAGAATCTGAGTCCCTGAATGTCACCTAAAACGAACAATAAAAGCGTGATTCAGGTAAAAGAGAGGAGTCTGACTAAGACTTGATGCCAAGAAAGGGTGGAAGAGCAAGATTACAAAGCCATAGCCTTTTGATCTCCCACTGTTTCTGTCGTTTATAACAACAGCCTCCAAGATCTCTCCAAACTGCTCAAAATAGTGTCTCAGACTGTCTCTTTTGGTCTCCCAGGCCAGTCCGCCAACGAATATCTTGGTATAGGTTGTGTCGCCAACTTGTTTGGCATTGTTTGGACTAGCCGTTTTATTTTTGCTTTGCCGCGACATGCCAGTTCAAATCACACGGCCCTGAACCACTAAAACCACTGCGAAATAAGCCTAGAGGCAATATAGGATCAAGAAAACACGGCGGAAAGAGAAGAAAATGAGGTCACAAGGAGCCGTTTGGTTGGTTTTAACCTGTAAGTACGATAGGGAAACAGTTATTTATCCAATCAACCCCAGAAAAAAATCTTCCACCACCATGTGCTCTACCGTTTCTGGTTCTTTGACGTTTCCTCAGATTCTACAGCTAAAATTCCCTTCACGAGAAGCTTGAATGAATACTGACAAGAGGGTTGAAAGATTAGGGGAAAGAGAAACATGGAAAAGGAAGTGAAAACCCAAATATTTATGCATCTCGTGTTACAGAGAGAACAACTTTACAAGTAGGCAAAAAGACAATCGGAGCAAGTAAAACGAAAAGAATTATTTATGAATACTATATATATATATATATAAATATATGTATGTGGGGTGTTCTTTATAACATGATTGTGCTCATTATTTCTTTATATAATTGGCCCATATCAGAGCTCCCGAAACTCTGAATGGGTCCGAAGATACGTGCCTCGTTGGATTCAACTTTGTTGCGTTTTTCGCCTTTGCCCTTCATTGACTTAATCGGCACATAATTATTCGTTTTCCGTATTATATTAATTATAGTGGGGGATATATATATATATATATATATATATTACAATAAGGCGTGGAATAATGCCTTGACGCCATTTGGAGCGTCAGGACCACGCAGAGAAATTACGCCCGACTTAAGAAACAAGAGAAGAGGTTGACTGCCTGCTTCTTGAAGAAACAAAACCATCGTGTTCTTGTGTTGTGTGAGTACATAGAGAGAGTCGCATGATTTGAATCCATATAGCTATTGATCGATTTGGGTGATTGTGTTCGTCCTTATCCTTCTTGGGTTCCGAGCGTTAGAAGTCTCTTCTCTGGATAAGGCATTGACGATGGGATGAAGGAATCATGAGCCCTTTCCTCTGGGGTCAGAGTTAGGCGCCCCGGCGTACCTTGTTCCATCTAACTTTTCAATAAAGTAGCACTCACATGACGATAATAATTGACGAGGTATTTGCCTAGATTTAGATTGGATTGAAAGAAACAGACCCGAAGAAGAAGAAGGTGAAAATGATTGTGATGGGTTAGGGGCAACCGCATTCCTTGAATCAAAATCAAAATGGGATCAATCATTTCACAGTTTGAGCATCCTAGGTGGGTCACCTGCTGCGTCAAGTGGCATTAAATCTAAAAGTATGTTTCTGTTTTGCATGAGAAGTGATTGAGTATTTCATTGTTACTTTCATAATTTTTTTTTCTTAAAAGCACAGTAATTTTGGCATATAATCGTTTTAGCTTAATTTTTTGTAAAATATTTCATTTTTGCTATTTGGGCTACCCATTTCGATTCCTCCCCGCGACCGATCGGACCTTAGTTTACTTTGCTTCAGGCCCTTCAATGGATATTTTCTGGTAAGCAATAGATTGGAATCTTCTTTTATTGGTGGAAATCAGAAGGTATCCCACAGGTTGGTGACTAATCCTCCCAAGACCGGTTCTAAAAAGAGCGTAACATGTAACCTACGGGGCGCAGCCCATTGTTTTAGAGCCCAGAAGCGTGGGCTTTTCTCAGTTGCTTACTTAAAAACGTTTGGTCAGGAGACTATTGGGTTAATTGATATTTGTATGAGGGAGCCAAGAGTGAGAAGGATCGAAGAAAGTGTTTGGATATCTTAAAAAATCTTTTTTAAAAGTATTTTTTTATAAGTTGAGATAAACTCCTTCATATATTTATCTCGTAAACCGTAAAATTACTTTTGAAATCATGGTTTGGTTTCCATCCAAACACCTCCAAAATCAATCAGATCAAATCAAGTTACCTGAATAGAAGTGATTTTTTTTTTGGGGGGGTGCCCAGTGGGAGCCCAAAGCCTTCAAAACACGAAGGCTGCTTGCGTGAATCAGTGACGTCTTTATATTTAAAACATCCCGCTTCCGATTTTAATTGTAAGAGTTAATTAACTAATTTGAAAAGATTAAGAAAATAAATTAAGTTAGTTATTTATAATGAATAAGTGTTGTTTTTTCTAAAATATCCTTACTAATCAAATATATTGACTAAAACTATCATTGTTAGAAAGATTTTTTAATATATATATATGAGAAACAAAATGGATCGAGGTCTTCTACTTAGAACCAAAATAAAAATCAAATGAGATATTATATTAATAATCGAAAATAATATATATTTATATTTTAGGTAGATATTATGGCCCCGACGTGCGGCATGGGAGTGCTTGATAGGCAGCACTTAATTGTTGAGTGGGCAACTGTACTCTATTTGACATTAGATAATTAAATTAGTTACTATTTGCTGTTATTATGTAAAAATAGTATATTATTTTTACTCTTTTAAGTCGAGGTATTAAATTTGGAACAATGAGAAAATCTATAAAACTGATAAGAGCAGTGTGAGAAAAATATTAGTAAATAAGGGTAAAAAGAGTAGTAGATATTAAAAATGCGTAAAAGAAGTTCTGCCCAAAAAAAAAAAAAAGCGCAACAGTGTGGTTGCCATTAATTTGAAAGTTGAATCATTAGTGATAAATATGATACGAGGGGCAGGAGTAACACGATCCAACTCTTTATAGGAGTCATCTGTAATATATTTTTACGTACTAAAAAAATATATTAAATTGATGAAATTTTTTAATTTTACTCGTAATAAAGTTTTTTCTCCATCAACATTTACAAATCATTTTGATATCTCTCTATTCTTTCTCTCTCTCTCATTAAGCATAAAGTTGAAAAACAAACATGAAATATACTATAAATAAATTATATTTAAGACTAAAACTTCCATATAGAAATTGCATCTAGGGCAGGAGCGGTAATTAGACTTTTGCATTAAATTCAACATACAACGTCTGGGGTATTGTGGATTTAATTTTAATGATAAATAGAAATGTGTGAATATGGGTAACAGTATATAACAACCTTCTCATATCATCTCTGATGCTCCTTGTAGGTCCGGCCGGCCCGATGCTCCTTTTCGTTCTCTGCCTCTCACACGCTTCCTTTATAGCTATGGAATCACGTTTTTCTTTCTACGTAACCCCATATCTCTTTTTCTTTTCTTAATTGTAATATACTAATATTATGTGGGTAATACGCTAACGTGGAATCGAATCTGATGCATTTACGGCCACACTATCATTTCATCTATTTTTAGGACTAATCCACCCCCTTTTTTTTATTTTGAAAAAGATGGATATGTGAGGGGTGGGGGCGAAGGATAAGACCAAAAACGGCAGCCCCTCCTCTGTTGCATCCAAACAAATATTAAGTGGTTAGATGTGGACCCTCACCTCTTTCTTTAGTGACCATAACACATTCATTGATCTATCCCATATTATTTAACACAGTTCTTGGTTTCATACGATCACTGTTTGACCAAAAAGGCCACGCCTAGGTTAACTTTACATGCAGTTGGTTTCAATTGATGTTTCATGAAACGTGCTTTTTACATTCGTGCTCAAGTTGTAAAGCAAACTCGATCTTGCAAATTTTCAATAGAACTGAGCAACTTGAGAGAAGAGTGGCGAGCAGGGGAAGTCAACAAAGTCGAGCAATTTTATTCATAATGAAAAGGGGGAGTTGGTGGATTTACAAGATCTCTGTCTGCTCTCTTTTCCAAAGGCAGACAATGACATATGTAGCTGGGACCAACTGCCATCCACGAGCACTTTGAACCAACAAAAAGCCTCCCTGTTTCTACATTGATCCATGAATGGCCTATGCATTTCACATGATGAAACAACTAGTTAATTATACTTATAGCTCTTAAATGTTTGCTTATTATTTATTTAGAGATTTTTGTATAGACATGCTGTCTGGGAAGCTGACCCCTGGGCAATATTAAGCATTTCGTTAGGGGTGAATATGGGCGATGATGTGATTTGGTGGTCCCCACGCATTCCTACTTAAATGGTGCCATCCCCACAAAAACAATAACGAGGCATTAGCGCAGGGCCCTGAGCCCCAAGTGAGGAAACAACTGACTTGAAGGCCACTGCCCACGCTATAGGATGCTTCAAGAGACAATGCCACTAAACAATGCGACGGGTGAGAGGACGTTTTCATTGTGGTTTGGCCGTAGTTGTTGAATCCCATTACTCTATTCAATCCCTCACCCCACTCCAACATTTAAATAAGCACACTCCCTATAAAACTTTGATTTTGCTTCCCTCACTTTTAGCTGCCCCGTTCAATCATGCTTCCATCCCTTTATTTATATTCTATAATTCTAATCTGTCCCACAAACTACCCAAAACCTTAACGCCATGTAGTTTTACTCCACCCAAACAGCCAAATAGCAGTTAGCAGCTTCAAGAACTTAATCTTTTCAGCCTCAGACAAGAGAATATGTGTACAGTTACTAACCAAAGAACTACCCCTCTAATCTATCTTGACTTACAGTTATCCATTCCCCGTACCACGTCTTGTCAAACACTAAAGTATCAACTTGATTGAGATAATAAAATATCTTTTTTTTTCTGAAGATTATCCTTGACATCACCAAACCCATAATGCTGAATTGCTGATGCAATCTGGGGATATGGGAATTAAAACAAGATCATATGGGGGCTGAGATTCAAGATATTTCCTTTAAAACACGAGGCACAAAGACGTCGGGGTGCTTTTAAATCGTGACAGGGTGGCGCTGCTCAGCGTACCGTTGCATGCCACCTGTGCCATTAAGATGGTTATGGAGGGCCTAAATATCTATTGGCACATTTTGTGGGGGCAGAAAATTTCTTATTCTTAGTAAAGCTCCACATTTATATAATATTAAAGAGAAGTGAACATATATATGTTCAAGAAAAATGAGTGTGCGCGCATAAAGGGACTTTAACTAACCGACCTCAATGCGGTGTGTGATGCGTGGCTCCAAACCTTTAATTTTCCACCCACAACAAAAATCTATTAGCCATCGCATCCCCTCTCTTTTTCATTGGTCACCCCAAACTCTGCTTTTCACTCCACCCCACACCAAACAGAGTCTTCTTCGCTATATATACATGTCGCGGCTGTATGCCCCGTGAGACAATTTCCCCTGCTTTCCCTCCTCCTGCTCTGTTTCTCTGCGTGCTTCGTCATGCACCTCTCTCTGTAGCCATCTCACAACTTACACACTTCCATCTTCTTCTTCATCATCGTCATCTCCTTCGGTTGTGTATATCATAATGGGTAATTGCGTTGCCCTCTGTGACCCCAGACTTGGCTCCGCTTTGGCCAAGCAGGGCGGAATTGTGAGGGTGCTGAAACCCGACGGAAAGATGCTTGAATTCAGCACACCCATTGCTGTGAAGCAGATCCTGCAGGATTTTCCTGCTTTGATAGTTTGTGTGTCAAAAGAAGCCTCGGAGCCTCTCTCCCCAGATCACAAATTGAAGGCCGGAAGGTCGTATTACTTGCTTCCACATCTTTCTTTTCTCGGAAACACGGATGAAGATAGTGGGACAAAAAGGCTCAAAATTGTCATCACCAAACAGCAGCTTCAGCAGTTAGTCTCAAAACAGATTTCCTTAGAGGATGTACTTTCGGACGTCCAATTTAGGACTGTTGATTTGCCAAGCAACTGGAGGCCCCAACTGGATTCCATCCCTGAAGGAAATGAGTAACATGTCATTATAAATACATCAAAGACTCTTTTCGTTTTTTGTTGGTTTCCATTTTTGGCGGTTCGGGAGTACTGGACCTTTTCTTCTGCTCCTTCCTTTCTCTGTTCTTGTTCTTTCTCGTGTGTGGTACTTGTGACGGTTGCTGTAATGCTTCGGGTTGTTTGGTGAGATTGAAAGGAAAGAAAGAAGAAAGGAAGGCAGAGGAAAACATGGAACCTTGTATATGTATATATGAATGAACCAATCATGAAGCCATGTCTTTAACCTCCCACCACCTGTTAGGGTTGTGATTCATGACCAATGGATGCATAAATTAACAGCACAAGATTACAAATTTATAACTCTCCAACTTTTGCAAATTCTACTTGATTTATTATCATAAGCAATCCTACAAGACCCTCCTTCCATCAGTAAGCAATTGCAAGACTGAAGTTTGGATCGGATCATCAGCAACACAATCTATTGTGATTCGGTTTTGCATGCAAGAAGATATAGAAAAGAATAATGATTTCCAACCAATGATATTACTTATATTAGGCACCGGCGAAATCAGAACTAGAAGACACGGTACAGAACTACAGGTACAGAGTTCCCAGTGGACGGTGCATAGAGAATTTGTCCATTAATGAATTTGAATGAATCAAGCCGAGCAGTATGTATCCAAAAGGAATAACTTGCGACGGAAGGAAAGACGAAAAACTAACTGAATGCCAGGCGATTCCATTGTCTTGTTCCTCAGAAACAAATGGATTTTGCCATAATTTAAAAGGGAACAGTTAGGAATAAAAATTGCAAATTGTTGGTGGGGCGCCGCTGGAATGGGTAACAATGACAACCACTCCAGTATTGTTGTTTATTGCTGTCTTGGGAAGAACCACTGCAGTATTTTTTCAAGGGACATGGCAAAAGAACCGTCACTTTAATTATATGAACGAATTACAGATTCCAATTGCTACTGAACACTGCCATTGAATTGAAGTTAGAGAATAGTCCAAGTTGCTGTGCTGACCTTTTTCTCATAGCGTAAATAATGGAAAAGGAAAAACCAACATTGACTTTGCTGGCTGTGAAACAAGGATATATAGATACCAGCGTTTACTGGTATAGCTACATCTTAAATGTTTTTTTCCTGACCTTGGTGCGTAGAATGGATATTTGCCACAGAAAGTTGTCGACACTTGGGACTATTAATTAGCCTCATGATTGTGACATGCCAAGGATTGTGCTTGAAGTTTGGCACTGCACTGCCATTAGAGCTTCAACCTTCCACTTCTAGGCTTCTGCTATTCCACCGAATGTTCCTGTGGAGCTCAGAAAATCAAGTCAAATGATTCAATATCTACAACTGAAGAATCAAGTATTGGTTCAATCATATTAGAGTTGTCTTTTTCAACATATTTGAAAAAAAATTTAAATTCAACTCACAATCGGATCAGTTTTGTTTACAGCATGTTTAGTTTTACTGGAAGACATCTCTCACCCCCCCCCCCAAAAAAAAGGTAGAAAACATCTCAACTTGAAACGACACATACACTCTGATTACATTTTATTTTAAAGCCATTACTTGTGTTGAAATCTTCATATGACCGCCAATCATATTTTTGTCGTTCCGTTTTTTTTTTGGCCAAACATATTTTTGTCGTTCCTTTAGACACCTCATTCTTAATTAATTTCACACATATCGCAATATATAAGGCAAATTGCACATACTCGCCAGCCAAATGGACCGCAATGATCAATAATTTCATTTTTATTTTCAGTCCAAAAATATTAAAAGTCTACCAACTCATTCGTTTTATAGATACTTCGATGTTTGCATCGTGATTTAGAAACGACCGACGCCAATGCATGTTTTTTTTTTGGGGGGGGGGTCAGCGGGAGCGGATCAATAATGGGCCGGGGAGTGGCCGAAGGGGAAGGCGAAAGGTTTTGGTGGGGCTATTAAATTATGGATTGGGATAAACATGATTTGGCATAATTAATAATTAATTAATTTAATCGCATCACAAGGTTGTTATTGACTGTTGACTCACCATGCATACAGGCGTGTGTGGGTGTGTGGCACTAAAATCTATTATTAATGCTTTGGGCAGTTATGCGCTCTCTATCATCTCTGGTTACGTCATCCATCATATCATCATTAAATATTAAAAACTCCGGGCATAAAGCAAACTGGTTCCTTTTTTTTTTTTTAACCCACCTGGTTCATTTAAAAATGCCACATTGGAAAAGGAAAAAAAAAATTTCACCATTCTTGGATATAAATCCTACTTTTTACCTTCCTTTTGTCTATAAGTATAAATCCTAAGTCACAAATATAATTAATAATTGTTTCTAAAAATACACCTTCGAAATAAAATTATTATTTTCTAGCTAGATAGCTGGGGTTTAAAAATATTGGGCCTAAATACAGGACAAAGGTGCAAACGAAAAATTAATTTTTATATAACTCATATACAAAATAAGTATGCCAAAAGAATCTTGTTTAGATAAAGTGAACACTGCCAATAGTATGATACCAAATAATTGATGGGGGGATATAGTAACTTGCCACTTTGTTGATTGATTTTGGGGGCGGTTGTCACCAAACAAACAAAAAGTTGGAAGTTAGGCCTCAATAAAATCATCTTCCAACCAAGTGGAGTATTTTCTGAAAACGTTTCATGATGTAAAGTTTTGGAGGTTTTTTTTTCTTTCCTCTAAATCATATCATGCTTAAGGAAACTTTTAGGGTAAATAGCAAAAGAAAAATTGCATACAAAAACCTGTTTAAAAATTTTTTTGTCAATTACTTATCAATTATTAGTAAAACCAATACTCATATTGTAATATTTATATTTTTTTTTATTTTTATGGTTTTTTATGATTTTTTTAAACTTTTAATTCTGTGTTTGACCGTGGAAAAAATTTGTTGGTTGGCATTTTTAAAACTCCTGATATTTCGATATTAGAAAATTGCGAAACCTTGGCATCGCACGTGTCAGGCAACAGTCGAGTTTACATATAATTATTAGTGAACATGATAAACCTAACACAGTGCACCAAACACGGATGAATCTATCTAATAATCAAATGCGTGAGGTTTTCATTATGAAGCCAAACCATGATTCAACCATTTTTTTTTTTGGGTGCTACAAATCTCCAATCGATCAAGTCAAGGTCACCCAAAAAAAAAAAAAAGAAAGTTCAGGTCCGATAGATTTCTAACTTCTTGTTTTGATTAACTTTAAGAACAATTCTAGAAGCCACTAACGTATTTTAACACAGTGACAACAGTAGTACAGTCTTCGTTTGTTTGACACGAGGAACATAAAACAGAGAGGAAGAGGAGAAAAATTTTAATGAATTTGATTTAAAAAATTAAAAAAATAAAGTTAAAAATTTTTAATTGGTTTTTATTATTCTTTTATCTTATATTTTCTTGTTATTAATTTTTTAAATTAGGTTTATTAAAAGTTTTTTCCTCCCTCCATTTTCCTCATATTAAAAATAAGGTAAATAATAAGGTAAAATTGGAATGATACAGAGAATATTAGCATGACTCCTGCACAAGGATGACACCACAAATAGAGAAAAATAAGGTAAATAATTAATGTTAATCTATAGGATGCAAAATCGATGCAATGACTGAGTGCCAGTTGCCAATTTCCACATATCAAAAATAGATTAAGGAGTATCCACAGATCACAAGGGCGCCAGCCCGCACTCCATACAGTATACTCCTCCGGTCCTTAATATAAGACTCATTTAACTAATTTGATTAGATTAAGGAAGTTAGGTAAGTTAGTTAATTATAAGAAATGTGACATGTTTTTTCTAAAATACCATAATCAACTTTCTTAATACCCCATCTTCCTCTTCTACTTGATTATGGTTGAAGAAGTATCCATAGGGGTAATTTAGAGAAAATTAATAAATATGAAAAATGGGTCTTATATTTAGGACAAAAACCAACTCAACAATTGGGTCATATATTAAGGACCGGAGGAGTATAACCAAATATATAGTTAGCTTGATTTATCCATGATTGGTCGTTCTATGTTAATGATATTAGTATATATTTAAATTCCAATATTTTCCAATAACTTGATGCAGTAATTAATAGATTACCTTTCGAGTGAGGACTGAGGAGAACAATACAAGGAGCAATTACAAGGGTAATTGGATGGCATTTAAAAATACTTATAAGTTTCATGTAAATTGGGATAAAACTTCTCTCATGTACATACTTCTTATTCTGTAAATTATAATTAAAAAGCTACTTATAAGTTATTTTAAGAGGACTATATATATATATATATATATATATAAGCCATAATTTAAGTAGAAGCTGAAGGCACCTCCAATCTGCAAACTTCTACGGTCTTTGCAATTCCCATCAAAGCAGTCCCGATCGACCAAAGCGGACCAAAGAGGAGGATACTCTATTCAGACCTGAACAACATAAATCGTCACTCGTTGTTTTTTTTTTTCCCGAGGTAATTAATCTTACTGAGCTTGCATGTTTGGCAGTTTTATTAAGGATATATACCATTGTATGTTAAAAAAAAGGGGCTGATGAAAATTCGACCATGCTGCCGCATCATTGTAAAGGTCACGAGTAGTGCAGTTGAAGTGACGGACACACATTATCAGAAAATCTGTAAAGACAGTGGAAGAAAGAAGATATTGAGGTGGGAATAATATAATGTTGAGCCCATTTCAGGCTATGGCTGGTTGTAATATTCATGGCTGTCTTTGTATTCGTCATCTCTGCCTCTAAGACTGTCACACTAATGTGCGGCATGAATACTGAAGCCGCGACACACAATTTTCCTTTAAAGCGAGTCAGAATCATTAAAAACATGGGTCCTGGCAGCCCAGCATGTTATCAACAATGGATGAGAGGTTCTAGCTAAATCCAAACAGGCAACAGAATCCAATGTAGTTTGATCGGTCCACCCTCCCACATTCCCTCATTAATGACTTCGTTTGATGTATCCTATATATATCTCATCTCGAGTCATTTGCTCAAATAAATTCCTTCATACTCAATCTCATGGCCAGTGTTGCATCTGCATTAGCATTAGGGTTGGATCAATTCTCTCATATGTGAATTCTTGGAACTCGTTACAAAATTCAAAATCCCCTTACAAACTTTTATTTTTGGACTTGGGGGGCAAAGCCAGCCCTTTGAGAAAGTAGCACATACTAAAAATGCCAAAGCTCTGGGATCCTTTGTTGTCTTCTTTTCCTTTCCTTACTGTGTGGGTTGCAGCTTTCGGCAGCATCGAGGGTATTTCCTCTTTATACTGCTCTCCAAGTGCCTGACCTGACCCGATGCCCAACTCCATTACCACGCCTCGCAAACCACCAAAACATGAACCATTATTTTTCTGCACTCCCCTTAACCTTTTGGGGCTACGTAATGCAGAACTGTTCCCAAAATGCATGGACTAGCCATATATCATTATCCCTCGCTTCCAGAATTCAGACAAGCATGATTTTATTTAAAATGACAGCACGGCCATGGATTTCTTTCCCCCTCCTCATTTATTTCTCCGTGCATTTTGCATTTACAGATACCACCTACTCAAATACAACACTTCCATGTTTAACTTCACATGCTGCAACAGATATTTTTTTACACGGCAATTGAAAGAGGCTTTGGTGCAGTGCATATTTTCATTTTCATGGGGAAGGCAGGAGGAAGCTCTTGGTTGGCAGCTGTGAGAAGGGCTTTCAGGTCTCCTACCAAAGAAAAGGACAAGAAAAGCAACAGGACAAGAGAAGAGCACGAACAGGAGGAGGAGGAAAAGGTACCCCCACGAACACAGACTTCATTTGAACCTAGTTTCTACTCTATAATATGAGTTCGTTGTTCTCATTGACCAGAGGATGAAAGAAAATTCCGAGATGTGTAAACAAGGTGTATTTTTCTTTAATGTGCAGAAGAGGGGAAAAAGAACATGGATGTTCAGAAACCCCTTCGGCCAAGAGACAACAGCGCAGCATTGCTTAGAAAGAACCATAATAACAAGTACAGCCGATGTGATGGCAACAAGTTGTGATGCAGAGCAAAGACATGCGATTGCAGTGGCCATGGCAACCACAGCAGCTGCTGAGGCAGCGTTAGCAACCGCTCAAGCGGCTGTGGAGGTCGTTCGCCTTTCTAAGCCCTCCTTCTTTGTCAGACAACGCAAGGCAGCCATCGTAATCCAAACAGCTTTCAGAGGCTATCTGGTAATGAGAGAACAAAGCCGTTTGCAACTATCTTCCGGAACATACATTCATTTGATATGACTAAGATTCATGTAGTTGTGGTTATGAATGTTTAGGCCAGGAGAGCTCTTGGGGCACTTAAGGGATTGGTGAAGCTGCAAGCATTAGTGAGAGGTCATAACGTGCGAAAACGAGCTAAACTAACACTGGAGTGCATGCAAGCTCTTATTCGAGCTCAAACACGAGTATGCCAACAGCGAGCCAAGCGTCTCTCACAACATGAAAGAGCCACAGATTCCACAGACGAGAGTGGGACAGAGGAAGTGCGGATGCGCTGGGATGACCACCCACGAACAGTAGATAACATTCGAGCTGTTCTACAAAGAACAAGGCAAGCTGCCTTGAGACGTGATATTTCCCTGGCTGATGCCTTCTCCCATCAGGTTCGTTTCTAGTTCCTTTTCTTATTCAAAATTCTCAAATGCTCCACACTAGCCAGCTTGTTCCCATGAATTTTGGTTGCAGATATGGACAACTGGTCGGGAAACATGCACCAGCGAGGAAGAGGTAGAGGACAGAGACGGTCCAAGGTGGAGGAGAAGGTATAGAGGGAACAGAGGCAGAGCTTTGTGTGATCAAAGAGACCCCATCAAAATAGTTGAAATCGATACATACAGTCCTTACTCTGATCATGTTCCCACTGATAAACCTGAGTTTATTAAACCACCGAGAATTTCGCCCAGCAAAGCCCACTACGAGATCCCAATGGCAATGACATCACCGTCGACGAAGATGAAGCATGTTGAGATGCATTCAGCTAGGACTACGCCTCGTGTGAAGCCCAATACTTTGATGCCAAACTATATGGCAGCCACTGCATCTGCGAAGGCTCGGTCTCGCTCACAAAGCGCCCTCAGGAACTCAACCTCCGAGGAGGATGAAATGGGATCCATTAGGAAATGCCTTTCGTTCCCAGCTCCTAATTCTTGTGATGGTTTCGACCCTTGACAATGGAGGCACTTCTCATGTAGGAGTATCCCATTTCGAATTTACTAGAATGTACTCGCATATAAAGGTATCATATTTTGTTCACAGATCCCAAGATGAAATATGTGTTACCGGGTTTCATCTAACTCTAGACCTGCATTTCCTTGGGCGTGTCGTGGGATCAGAATCAAAGCACCTCTAAATCCAAAGCCTAGTTAATTTCAATATTTTTCACGAGTATTTACTTATCCGTCTTCTGTTTTATAAGCTTTCTCGTCGAGCCATGTGCAAGCGCAATCACCAAAGAAAAACGTGATTTGCTCAAACGATGATCTATCTATAGCTTCCTGCGTCCCTGACCTCAAAACTTTAAGGCTCTAAACAGCAAGGACACAGATCAAATATCATTATATTCCTGTATTATATTCCTCTCATTCTAAATATAAGATTTTTATATTTAGGACCGGAAGAATATGCACTTATGGTGCAGCATCTGGCATGCAAGCAGAATTGAGCTTAAGCATTAAAGGTTCGCAATGGCTCCGTTGCTCCCAACCTCGTTTGCAAAACCATGCACCGAACAGTGCATTTTGGTGGGGCTCCTGACAAGGCTTTAATGCTTTTTTTTTTTAACTTAGTTCTCAAAAACATGCTATAAAAAGTTGGAAAAATTGTTGAGAAATATCTCGTTATGAAAGTTATTGTCAACAGTAGATGAAATTTGTTTAAATAGCTAGGCGGAACTTATTTTCATTGTGTAACTCTCTTTCATTTGCATGTAATCTATGCTTAATCAATATATCTTTTAATACTATTCCACTCAAGCCACGGCTCAAATGGCTTATTCTTTGGCTTCAGACTCATTTTACTGTTCATAAGGAATTTTTGGCTTAATAATAGCCTATCGGCTCTGTGTCATATGGCTCATATAAATGGCTGCGTGCAAAGACTATATTTTGAATTTCAAATCCCGCCTCATTTCTTATATTTTGAAATTTGAATCTTCCCCATTTATGAATCTTGTCAACACTGTCTTGTCCTTTCTATTTCTTCGGCATCACACATTCTCTCTTTCTCGTACGGCTCACTTCTCAACTCCTCCCATATCCTTTTTCTCAGCCTCCAACCGTCAATTTCTTTTTCAAACCGCCTCACTCATATTTTCTTCGTTGGTCTCTTCTTCTTCAGTCTACGTCTTTACTAATGAGGAGCTAAACATTGAAGATGGTGGGGAGATCTGGTGACCACGACAACAGCGGAGAGGCACTGATGAGAATGGCGATGACACTGGGGAAGCAGAGACGAGGAGATCATGGCTATAGGAAGGTGAGTGACAGAAGTGAGGGCTACACATTGGTCCTCACCCTCTCTATTCCATCGCATTCTTCTTTTTCATTTCTCAGTAAGGATGGTAGGGAGATCTAGCAGCCTTGGCGACGACGAAGAAGCCATGATCACGATGGCCATGATAGTTGGGAGGCAGAGATGAGAGGAATCCGCGGTGATTCTTTTCAGGCAAGGATGTGACAGTAGAGAGAAATCGCTGAGGATATGACGGATAAAGTCAGCTTGCAGTGCTTTTGGCTTCTTTCTTTGATGATTATTTTTCCTCTTCTTCTTACATTATATCTTGACCTTCATACCTGCAGCATTTGCCTTCAGGTTCGTTTGAAAAAGGATGGTGGATGTTTCCACTTCATGACATTCCCCCTTCTTTTTCACGAGTATGGAGATTAAAGAGGGCAGCGAATCTACGAGATAATAGCGATTGTACATTTATATTGTAATCCTCTATGTCCATTTTATATTTCCTCATTTCAGCAATATTTCAGCTATCGTTTTTTCTCATGCTGCCAAAATTTCATCTTTTTCCCAACCAGATTCAGTGTTGTGGCTACCAACTCTCTCTAGGTTCTCCATCCTTGAACATGTGATCAGTAGGATCAAGGGACATAGCAGAGAGAGGGAGATGTATGAAATGTTTGCAAGTGAATAAGGATCACTATCAAAGAACGGAAGACAAAATGCTTCTACTTCATGTCAACAATTATGGTCCCACAGACTTGACCTTCATTCAATCCAAGGGCCTTCTTCAATGCAAGTGCAAGTGTTGTTATCTTTTCCAAGTCAAGAAGCTTTGTCCAAACCTCAAGAAGTATTTCTCATTCCTCTTCTCATTTTACCTGTTTTTGTTGATTTGGCATTTGAAACAATATATCAAAATTAACTGATGGGGTTTTTCTATATTCTCTGTCCAATTGTAAGGATCTACGCAAAAGACGAAATCAATTCACATAGGTGAAAGAAAGAGACATTATTTTGGGTGAGGTTCTCATTTAAAGTAATTGCTCCCCGTGCAACGCACGGGACAGCACCAAGTTATACTTGCACGGGACAGCACCAATTTTTTGTGACTTAATTATATACAATAGCTGAAAATATGTTACCCACAAATTACACCCATTAAAAATAAGTTATACTTGCTCAAATAATTGAGTGCACCAGACACCTTTCGGTCGTAAATTGTGAAATGAGAACTTTCAAGCAATTTTCTCAACCACAAAAAAAAAAAAAAAAGAGTTTGCTTTTTCCAACTTTTTGCCCAATAAAATATTTGATTGTTCGGTAAATATTGAATGGATGCAACAGTTTTGTAATATTGACAGGGATTAAAATTCAAAAGGTGTTTCCTTTTCGGGACCATCATCCTCTGATGTATTTTCATTCTGCTTGGTATATTTTCATTCTTTTAATTAGAATGACAAATACTCACAACTTAATGATACAAGCATGGTTGAACTTCAACTCATTGGTATGTTGGTAAATTTTTCAAGCTTAATGCTTGCCTTTACGTATGAGAAAATAAAGACAACAAGAAGGAGCAAAGTATATGAACTTATTTTATGAAAAGGTTCGGAGATGGAAATAAATAGCAGTATGGGAAAATGTAATAAATGCTAATGGATAAACGGATGTGATTAGTCGAAAAAGAGGGTGAGGATTGTTAACAAGCGCTTGCAAATTACTTCCCTTTCGACGAGCTGATTGCTCTATTTCTTTTCTGGGTTCGGGAACGGCTAAAGTTGCTGGATATATTTCAGCGACGCAACACGGAAAGAAAATGATACAAATGGAAAATATATAAATCGCAGCGCAGCTTTACAAAGACAAAAGATAAAATGCTGCAAAAACAAGTGGTATTCCGGAGAACAGAAACACCGGTGTTCCGATATTTTTTGATGTACAGACCACCTTAGAAAACAATCCTACATATACCCGAAATCCAAATCCAAAGTTTAAACTTTAAACCGAAACAAGGCTCTCAGAAGGAATTAAGAAGGTAGGTTGGTGTGATTAAAGCAGAGCAAGGGCATATCAGAACTGGCCCTGGAAGACCCAGCCCTTCGCCTGGGGCTGCTACTGCTGCTGCTATCAGAAAACGAAGCCAGCGTCTTCTGCAGCACCCCAGATGGCGACGACGCCACTGTTGCCATTGGGCTCTCATGGGCGGTGGTCGCCACCTTGCTGGGCCTCAGCACTTCCGCTAGTGGACCCCCAGGAGTTGAACAGGCGGCCCAATTTGCAGAGTGATCCATTTGGCCCAAGCCCACACGAACGGAACCCATGTCTTCCTCCCCGCCACCGCCAACTGACAAATCAAGAGAAGAAAGTGATATCTTGTTATGTGATGCAACGGAGCTCCTTTTGTGGGCATTGATTTCTGCACTGGACCAAGCATCAATGGAAGCTCTTGGTTTTACAGACCGAGGATTTTCTATAGGAACTGCTAGAGGATTGAGGTGCAAAGCGGGGCGCTTGTTGTGTAGGTCCCGTTCAGAACTGAAACCATCATACGAATTCGCACATAGAGGGCCTTTGGAACGAGTGATTGAAATTGAGGCGTCGTCGTTACAGAAACTCCCGTATTCAATGCAAGTTTGTTCTGTATCAGAGGATGCCATTGTAGATCCATGGTATTATGGTCTCCTTTCAGCATCCGGTCCCCGCCTCTTCATTATGCACATTTTCAGATTCACCAAATTAGAAAGGGTCAAATCTATTGGAACTGAACAATATCACACCAGCTTTTAATGTGACTGTCTTCAGACCCAAAAAGAAGAAAGAAAATGGATGAGCATGGTCACCATAGAAACATAGTTAGCGGGGAAAGAAAACTACCTCCTCCCAGAAAATACAAATACACTACCCCATCAACCTATTTTGACCTGCCAAACGAAGCCCTTTAGTTTAATTCTCATTACCAAAGGATGGATTAGAGACAAAAGAAAATGACTTTTATCAGATATTCACAGCTCTCATGAAAATCTGAGGCTTCTGAGTTCTGATGATCTAAAGCCTCGGTTAATGTGGAGTCCGACAAACTCAGCAGAAATAATTGATGGAAACCCCAGGGGAGAGATGCATCAAGAAGCCAACAATAAAGACAGACATAATAGTAAAGTCCAAAATTCTAGTCACCTTGGAACAGAAGCAAGGGAATCAAAATTTGCAGCTTTGACGCCAAGCTTATCAAGAGAAAGGGAAGATTCAAAGTACGGCTGACTGGCCGTAGTAGAGGCAAGAAACGGAGATGAAGATCCATGCGTACGGATTGTAGAGTTAGAGATAGTCATGGTAGGAGCAGGCAAAGAAAGATAATCTTGGCTAGTTCTGTTGATTTGCTGATTATTGTTGGTGGTGCCTCGAGTTTCCACATGCTTTCTTGAACGGGGACGACCTCTGTGCATATGACGCTCGCAATACTTGTGGTTAGGGGCTACGTCTCTTGAACATCTCCATTTTTTCCCATCTGTTCTTCTGCACCTCCCTGGCTCTGCATCACTGCTGCTTGAAAACCTTAGATTGAAACCAGTATCCACTGCTAGCAAGAACAAGCCACGAATATTAAATTACAAATTTCAACAAAAGGGTGAATAGAAAAAAAGTGCAGACTCAACCCACGTCACTTGCTTCAAGAACGAAAGCAACACATCATGAAATAAGTTGAGAGGTTGTTTCAGACACAGGCATATGCTTTCAAGAGAGGCCATATATGCAAAAACTACTCTTTTTTTTTTTTGGGGGGGGGGGGGTTAGCTAAAGACATGATCTTTTGATGAGAGAGAGCACACATAAAACTTGAAAAGGCATAAAAGGCAATGGGGAGATATGTTCCTCTGGCTCTGTGTAAGAGTGAGGTATTAGAACAGGGGAAAAAAGGGAAGAGCACATGATGAAGGATGAGCAAGGGAGACATACAGTGAGAGCGAGAAGCAGGCACGGGGATAAGCAGCTGAGGAGGAACAGGTATAGCAGCCGTCATGTACTTGTATATCATAGCTTGTCTTTCAAGCTCCTTCCACTGTGCTGTTGTGAAAGGAAATCCCAATGAAGCCGCCATCGCCCCTCCTGCTATAAACACAACCATCACCCAAGTGTTATATTTTCAGTGTCTTTTTGCTCTCTCTCTCTCTCTCTCTTCTGACCCTCTCTTTATATATTATACAACGAAGGACGCCAGTGTATATTAGCAAGAAATTCCGAATCACAAAATTTGCAGAGCATTGACTTGAAAGAAAATACAAAAGAACACAAACCTGAGGATTTGAAGGCGGTTGAAGCAGAAACGTGAAAAGGCTGCAAGGGTCTAACATGCGCAGCACCAGAAGCAGAAGCAGAAGCACCATTACCAAAATGATTTGCATAATTAGTCAGGGACTTACAAGTTGTAGGACCATCACCATCACCATCACCGGCAGCAGCGAAGGACGGACCATATAGCAGAGGATCGTGATGATTATGAGGAGGAGGAGCCATCATCATCATGGTCTTACTAGAAAATGCTTCGAAGTTCTGCTTCTGCACCTTCATACCCACCCCAACACCACCATTACTGCTATTTTTTGCCGCTTCCTCGTCCCAAACGCCAAATTCACCCATATCTCATACAGGAAAAAAAACAAAGAAATTTAGAAAAGGAAAAAAAACTAATGAAACCACTTTGTCATCCGGAAGAATCCCTCCCACCCACAAACACGCAGAGCTCTAAACTAGAGCCAGCTTTTCAGGTAAGCAAGATGTCCCCTGTTCTGTGGCCCTTGGAATTGGATGTCTATCTAACAGTTGTTATGGGAGTATTACACCAAATGACACACACATTATCTCTCTCCTCTCTTTATGTCTATCTCCTAGCAGCAGTTGTTATAAGTTATAACAGAGAAATGTGGGGTGAGGTTGCTGTGAGATTTATGATTGAGTAATGGGTTGCCGCCATTCTCGGCCTTTGATTTGCTTCCATACTTCCAACATTCGCACCACACACTAGCAGACAAATTAGTAAAAAGTTAACCCCGCCTTCTCTCTCATCATCATTGTGGTATCTATCATTTTCTGCTTGTAAGGCTCCAGATCCTCACTCCTCTATCTTCTTTGTATTTTTATGAGGAAGATAGCAAAGAAGCAGGACAGAGAGAGGCCTTGGATTTGGCCACTCTTTCCTTTCCTTGGCCACCGTTTCCAATGCGTAACGTTGCGGCAGCCGGTAGTACTGGTACTAACGCAAAAAGGCTTTGATACCTGTATCATTATGGACGAATTATTTTATGCGCGCATATATTATAAATATTAAAGCCATTCACTTCATTGAGTTTATTTATTTTTTAAAAAAGAATTTCAACATTATGAACGAGGGCAGAGAAGACCAGCGATTTATTTCCATTGATTTCTTTTAATTCCTGTAAAGGATATCCTTTGCAGCTTGCAGTTACACCAAAGTGAAGTACCATACACAGTGTCTGCGTCTCTTGGAATGGCCAAAAAATATGATGCGCAAAGGTAATATTGTTGCAGCCTTCAATGCTGTAACGAGCTCCAAAAGCTGTGACCAAACTTCTCAGGAAAGTCCAACCCACATCCACCTCTATCGCTGTGAAAAATCCGTCCGCTTTAACTTTGTAGTACACCATTAGTACGAAATCAAAGCTTAAAAATCAGCCATTGCAGGTATGGGAGGAAGACATCTATGGCAATCTTCTTCTTATTCCGGGGGGAGGGGGACAAATGCACATGACATGAAATAGAAGAATTGAAATTGGCGTCGCTATCAACATGTTCCCATATTGATATTATTGCTTCGGGTTTCCACTTCGTAATTATTCTTCTTGACTCCTTAACACACCTGCTTTCCCAGTCACAGGCGAAATAAGCATAAACAAACAAAATAAGCTTCGTGCTTCTTTTTTTTTGCCCGCCTCAGTCTCTCTCTTTCAATTGAGATATACAAGTAGGCTGTGGGTATTTTAGTGCAAAGAAAGGGGATTATGTGTATGGGGTGGATTCAATGGCGCAGGGCTGCCACCGCCACGGAAACAAGGATTTGCCAATTCCATTCCTTGCATTTCATTTCGTTACTTTATCTGTCGCTTCTGTCGTTCTGCATTTCTGTGTTAGTCCATGATTTAAGATGTGGGCCCACCTCGCCCCTCAATCCACCCAAACAGATATGGATCACCATTTTTATCTTACGGGACCACCTTTCGTCCCCACCAACTTTTCGTTCTTTCCCTTATTCCTATGCAAGTGCATTTAATCCTCCCCATTCCAGTCTACTACACAGTCGCATTTCACATATTTCCATTTCCAATACATGCTTGTTATTTTGCCTACAGTGAATTTATTCGCGATCTATTTTATTTTATTTTTAATTAAAAGACTATTCCCATGAGGGAGGTTTGTGTTCTCTCCAGTTATCTTTGGACATTATCAGTCCTCATATCCATCCATAACCCGTTTCTTTCCAAATCATTTTTATAAACATACGACAGAAACCCAAAAAAAAAAAGGGGACAAAAGCTATATCACAATCAGACGAGTAAATTCCCAGCAATCCTCGATTTACCCCCGTGTTGCACTGACTTAACGATCTCCTCTTACTAGACTAGTCAGCCTCGATACGTGCAATGTTGCCCTGTGAACATAAAAATTTGAAATTTCTCAACAATCATAAACAATTCTATAAATATAGTATTTAAATATAAAACTCATTTTATAATGTATTTTTTTTGGTGATTGTGCTATATTTTATTTATTATTTTAATTATACACTACAGTGATGATTACATTTGCTAGAAAGTGTTTTGGGCTTCCGATTTGGATTCGGAACCATGTTTTAATCTTGCTTCTGTACATTAAATCCCCCCCCCCCCCAAAAAAAAAGCGAAATTTCTGAGAACCAACTGTAACGGAGCAAATGAAATTTTACGATTTTTAATCCTTTGAGCATAAAGTAATGGGAGGCCAAGGGTGAAGCCGCGTTTTTTTTTTGGGGGTTGGCGGGTGGGGGACAGACAAATTACTGGAATCAATTCAGCAAATCAGCAACCAAACATAAAATCGTTATTAGATGATAGCCATAAATTGCCAAAAATTAACACGGTTGTTGAAAGCCAACCCTCCACACTAGGGATATCAAAACACGTTCTCGCAAGAAGAACAAGGAAGCACGAAACTACACAATCAAAACACAACATTAAAAATGGTTCCAAATTTCAAGTGGATACAGAATGAATCCTTGCTCTTTCCGTTAACGATGAATTATCTCAAGTGCCACAAGAAAGAGTTACATTGCACTTATTCCGGACGATAGGAAAACAGTGAGAAACCAGTTTGCATAATGAGTCCATCCAGTGTAGGTTCCACAACAATCAACTACATAAATGACTTCAACTCTGCTAACGCTGCTATTCTGATGCTTCCGCTGGTTCCAAAGCTTCCGTGTGTTTCAATTTTTCAAGAGAAGAAATTCGTCGGTCTAACGAGTCGTGGACACCTTTCATCTGGAAATACAAAAGGTCACTAACTGAAGCTGCACTGCTAGTGGATAGAAGAGTCAAACAAGTACAATGCTAGACCAAAACACCCCCAATGCGGCCATTGCCTTCCTCGTAGGAATAAAAGGAAGGAAGGAGAAAACGGACCAATTTAATTAAATATATGTCAATATCCAAGAAATCGCAACGGATAGACATAAATAAGGTTATTTGGACAGAATACAACAAGCCTAATTCACATCAAATGCAGAAGAGGCAAAATTAAGCTACCCTTCATCCTGAATATCATCCCTAAAGTTACTTCCATCAGACATTATCCAATGTCTACAAATGGACCGTGAGGAGTATCTGCAATAGAGAATCATACTCTTCTCTAGCAAACTACACATCTCTCCCAGCTGTTTCGAGAAAATACAACCCCACCCACCCCACTTTTTTGAACAAGGAATTGTATAAGCCTTACACAAGAATCATTCAAACTCGATGAGATAGACATCTGAAGACCAATCTTCATGCGGCATCATATTTGTTGAATCCTGCAATTACATATGGTCCAGATTGTCCTAGCAAGTCAAAATTAATGATGCCTTTAATTGATGTGGTTGAGTCTTACTCAGATAAAGATATTGATGGCTTCCTAGTGATGAAACAAGCGACTACTTATCGCGAAGGCAAAGAATCTTTTAGCAGGCCTTCATGTCAAAAAGCCGCTCAAAAACTAGACCCCTGTAAGTATTATTATTATTTATTATATTCATGATTATTCACTAATTCTATATAGTATTGGATACTAAATATATTTTATTATGTAGATGAATGGTGGACATATTATGGTTGTTCAGTTTCAGAATTGCAGCGTGTTGCAATGCGTATTCTTAGTCAAACTTCTGCTTCTTCTGGTTGTGAGAGAAATTAGAGCTTATTTGAAAGAATTCATACGAAAAGAAAAAACAGATTAGAACATAAAAGACTGAATGATTTAGTTTTCACCAACTATAATCTGTGATTGAAACATAGGTAATCTTGAAAACAGTGAATAACTTTAGTTTTTTTTTAATTGATTTATATTTATTTAAAATTTTGTTTGTCATTAAAGGAGTACATTGAAGAAGAGCAAAAGTTATGATCCAATTGACTATGAAAACATTGATATGGTGGATTTTTGGATGGCTGAAGAAGATCCCACTCCAGAGTTTGATGATAGAGATGTGGATACATTGGAAAGCGTCCTTAACAATGACGGCACTACTAATTCAACAACTCTTAAGAGTGCTAATGAAGGTTTATATATTTAATTAAGACTCTATTCTTATACTAATATATAGTTATTTGTATAATCATTAATGTTGGTCACTGTCTTATATAGGTGATGAAGATATGAACATTGCTGACCCTCCACCTTTACAAGATGATGTTGTTGCTCCTGTTTTTTCTTGTCTAGCTGTTGACATCTCAGCCCATGCAAATGATCTTAGTGATGATTTTGATTTTCTCTAGTTAAGATATACATTTCATTAATGTTTGCTTGGTACTATTAAATATTTAAACTACTTTTGTAGCTTCTCATCTTTTTTTAGTGATTATTATTTATGAATTTTGTTTTATTTTAATATTATGAATTAATTATATTATTTTAATATGACTGGTCCGACCCCGGTTCAACCTCGGTTCGACCAATAACCCTTGACCCACTATCTCAACCGGTTTAATGTCCGATCCGGTTTTCTGTTCCTTGCTTTTTTCCTCACAGGTGAGAAGCAACCTCAAGGCACTAGACTTGTGAAATCGCTTGGGCAAAAGGTTCCAGAAAGGCACACATATGTTGACGGGTAATTCAAAATAACATTTTACATATAAATTTTTAAACACTGCTGGATCAATTCGTCTTGCCTTCTTCCTCAATGACATTACCAATGTTGCTTTTTGGCCAAGGACCCTTCCGATGACAACATTCGTAATGGTTTGTGTCACATGTTGCTTTATGGTTTTTTTTCTCTAAAGCCTAGAAAGGTAATAGCCTTAATAGTACTTGAGTCAACATTACTATATTACCATGTTATAAAGGGTTGGATGGAAATGTCGAGGCATTGTTCACATGAGTAAGCTGCCAAAGCCACATGACCATTCATGGAAACAGAGCAAAAAGCAAGCACCTTTTGGTGCGTCAGTGAAATTGAGAGAGAGGTGTTGAAGGTGTATGGTGCCTAGCCTTAGTGCTTAAGGCACTGAGGCAAGAACCTTTAACTGGAATGATTAAAATCAAACAAGATGGCACTAGGATTAAAATATTGATCGTCTGGTTGTCTGATTAAGTCTTGACAATCCGACAATGTTACACCTAATTCTAACGTGTGGGGATATCATCACATTATAGGCCTGAGAATTATTTTAACGCATGCCATTTTGTAACTCTTGCAAGTTATGACTCGTCAATTTTTTAGGAGAGATTGATAATACTGGGCTTATTTATCATTTTGGTCATCTTACAACCGAAGCTTATCTTTCTGATCTCTCAGCCAATTCTATGTAAGAGTAAGATCTCAATATTGACAACACTTGAAAAAAAGACACCAAAACACCATTTAGTTATGTTGTCATCATCTCCTATCAACTCTTGATTATGGCTAAATGCCTAAATCTTGCTTGTACTGTCACAAAATTGCTAATTTCCATCCTAAAGTAAGGCACTTACCACCCACAACAAGGGGCATGAAAATAACATACCAAAATGACTATATTACTTATATCATCCAATCAAAAGCCATAAGTAGAAATCTAGCTTCTTCTGCTTGTCAAAGGCAACATAATTCAATCACCACCTCAGGCTAATCAAGATTCAAGAAAGCCATAGACCACACAACTTGAAGATATTACGAAGTTACAATGAACAATATTATCACGAAAACAAGTAAGAACACGTAGAAAAGGTAGGCTGACTTAATGGTATCGGCAGTCAAACAGGCAAAAATCCCATGCAATGTCTCAATTTGAAGTTCTCAATCTTTAAGATCAACATGTACAGGCCTAGCAATTATCAGGAAATCAAGTAGGAAGGTGTAAAAATAAAATTGAAAAAAAAAGGGTACTCAGATTTTGTGGCATCATCGATCAAATGGCAACAATTCAACGTAACATCTCAATTTGAAGAAATATAAAGCAATCGTTCCCTTTACTAGGGCTGCACGACTATTAAGATGGGTCTGAAATGGTGGGCATTCTACCAACAAATGGCTATAAGATATCACATTTGTGCAGCCATAGCCACATAAATATCACAAGCCAATTGTGATAACCTTGCATCATTTCCCGACCAATATTAATAAATAAACAGATATCACCATCTTAACAGCTTGATTCCTCGCACACAAACCAAAGCAATACAAGAGAATCTAATCAACGCCGGCCATAAGAAATGGACATCGCGAATGATGTCAGACATCTTCTTAAATGCAACAGAAACAACGTATTATTACTCAGAGGCATCCAACTCCAGAGGAATACAAGGGAATACCCTAATGCAAAGGACAAATAATTGATGGGGTTTTTGACGAAGGGGGAAGAGAAGGAGGTGAAGGCACCTGTTGAGTAAAGGATTCCTGCGCAATCTTGTAATCCCTGTGAAGGATGTAGAGACCGGCAAATGACGCCGATGCGGCGCCCGTGAAGAAGGACGCCAATCTCACTCTCAGAACATACCCCATTGTACCGTCCTTCCTCTCTTGTTTTCCCTTCCTGTTTCTAGTTAGCAAAGCGACTCCGTACAATGCCAAACGACACCGTCTTCCAACGTCGATAAAACCCCTCCTGTCGACTTGCGCAGGAGAACGCAGCAAGTTAGAGGCGTGTCCGATTCTGGTATATGACAAAACCGGTTCGCATATTATAATATTTATAGGTATAACTGTTTGCAATGAAATTACATATTTACTGTACATAATAAGTGGAGCATCCGTACACCATTTTAACTTTAAATTTAACTCTCACAAATTACTTATTCATATGACATGCTTGTAAAGTAATTTTGTGCTGATCATACTGGTAACTTTATGGGTCCAAAACTAAATTGCCATTACCGACGGCTTCTCAAGCAAAACTAAAACAAGTCCTAAACTATTAGTTTGGGGCTCAGAGTCAGAAGGAGCCTGTAACAACTTGTAATCTTGGCAACTTCATATAATGCGGATATATTGATTGACATGAGTATGATGGGCTTTCAATAAATTTTATCTTTTTTCATATGGAAGTTACTTATAAAGTTTTGTTTACAAAAAAATGTAAAATTTATTTTATTTTTAAATATAAAACTTTAATTAACTTTCTATCTCGTATTTATTATTTTTTAAATTAATTTATCCAATATATAAACTAATACACGATTTAATATTATGTGAAAGTATTTTGCAAAAGCCATTTTAATTTTAGTTGAATTATATAATTTATAATATCTTTACATTAATTAAATATCTTTTACATTAAACGCCAAAAGAGTATATAAATATTTTTCTTCTTTTTTCTATCTTCATTCAAAATATTATCATCCATCCTTTCGCCCCACTCGTTTGTCATATTTTCTAGTCACCGATTATTCGGTGGATACTTGAAGCCGATCGCAACTTACAACAACAGATTTAACCATATGCTTGTAATAACAACCAGAATTATTATTATAATATTTACTACTATTACTACTAATAATACTATAATATCTTAAAAAACAACCAAATATCAACTTGAACATCTGATTTAACAATACAAAAATTAAAATAATATACTATAGACTATAAGTCAAAGAAATAACAAATAACCAAAATTAGTGCTTGTTAGAAACTACTTAGAACCCATTTGGAATAACTTATAAATAGTTTATAAGTAGTTGTTTAATAGTGACTTACAAAATAAAAAACAAATATGTGAAAAGAATTCTGTCTCGACTTACATAAAAAGTGCTTATAGAAAATTTCCACCACTATCCCAAACAGGCACTTAATATAAACACTTATAAACACATTCACATAAATCAAGATAACACTCTTCATATATTTTATATTTTGTAAATCACAATTAATCTATCCTTTCCAAACAAGCACGCACTTCATGCCAGTGAACAGAACGTGAGCTAGGACGTTTTCTCCTTATTTGCCATTATCTAGGGCATTTGTTTTACGTGGGTGCTTCCAGAATTTTAAGAAATACCAGTATAATGAGAGGGAGAGCTTGTAAACCGAAAACATGAACAACGTTTTGATCCTTCTAAGCAGTCACAAGACTAGCGGCCACGATCTATCAGATGCAAATGCACAGCAAGGGATTGCAAATGAGGCCCGCATATTGATGAAAATTTTAACAATTCGAAACAGCAGGGAGTAATAAATTAACGCACAAAAAATGAGCGAAGCGATGACAATTTAAATCACAGTTGCTCAGGACGCAGAAGATTGCAAGGAAATTCTTCGGAAACAATCTCCCGCAAACCCCACAATCATCAATTCATCATCAATCTTTCTATACGCAACCCCCTTTTGATATCAAAAGGATAACTTGCTCCTCAGTTTCCTGTAAACATAAACTATGATCAGAATTACGAATGTAATACGATCTAAATACAGTTCAGATACGTATGGGAAAAATGGCGCAAAATCAAGAGGAAAAAGGTGACTCAGCTCTAGGAATACCAGGACATTCAATTTGCAAGGACATATTTGCCATTTTTTTCCAACTCTTTTTATCAGACAAAATTTGAAGATTATACAATTGATTACAAAAGAGTAAAAAAGGAAAAAAAAAAAAAAAAACCTGTTTAGCATGATTCATTCCTAAGAATAGAAAATACTCTCTCTAATCTTAAATGTAGGAGTTAGATAGCTAATTTACAAATATTAAGAAAATATCACCAAAGTGAAAAAGGTCTTTTGCCCACGTAAAGCAGAAAAAATTCAACTGACGAGACCCCATAACCAACAGGAAACAAAAATCAACTTCTTATTGCATGAATAAGAAACATAACATATCCATACTTGTGGCTAAAGAGGACATCTTGATGGCCATACATATTATAGCAAGATCTAGTGAATCAAAAGTGAATATAGACCTAATCTAATTTTTTCGTCTTACTGAAGCATTACCACATCTAGCAAAAATAAACTTACAATGTAGCATTCAAGTAAGGCAACTCGCTATCTTTGAGGAGCATGCCCAGCAACAGACCTATAAAAAAATAAATAAAGTGAGCAAGATTCCCTTTTCAAACAGTTATTTAATGTTGGACACCAACGCACAAAAGCATAATGACAGATATCATCACACCGACCGTAGAAGTGTTACCTGATCTGCTGTTTTCCAGGATAGGTTGAAGTTATCCTCCCATTTGTAGGGCCTGAAGTTTGGTCACTGCCTACACTAGATCTGTCAAGGCTTCCCCTACTGCCGCCAGTTGAAAGCACAGAAGATTCGACAGGTCGATTTTCAGGGCCATTCATGTTCTGAGAATCCTTAGATTTACCCAAAAGTTTTGCATTTGCAAGCCCACCAGTGACACTGAAACTCACACCATTTGTTTGCTCGTGCTTTAGGGCTTCATCAGTCACATTTCGAGAAATTAGAGCAAAATCTTTCACAGACTTGTCAGTTTTAACATTCTTGGAATCACTTGAATGAACTTTCTTTAGGCGATGAGACTGGGCCATTGGTGTAACTGCTACAGTAGGCAAATATGACGAATAAGGAGATGATGATGATGATGATGATGATGCAGCTGCTGCAAAAACTTTGGCAACAGCAGCAGTTGCCACTACCATTTTCTGTGCTCCTTCACGAAGCTGAATATAGTCTCCATCAATCATAAATAACTGTTTTGGGGGGGGGGACAAAAAACATCATTAGATTACAAAGCAATTACATTACTTGAATGGACGCTATGCATACAGATTCTAACTTAATACTCACTTCAGGATGGCTGGCCACAAAATCATCGAGCTTTCCGTACTTCTTCTTGTAATCATGCCAGTGTAGAGGTGCAAGCATCTTGCCCAATCTGTTAGGAAGCTGTGTTTCAAAGGCATTACATATCAACTCTATCAGTTTCAAATCCAAAACAGCCATACCATAGAGGAGCCTAAGAATATTGTTAAGAATTACTAACCGTTGAACTAATTCGAATCCGTCCACCAGCAGGAATAGTGCGTACAATACAAGCTAATAGTGTTCTTTCATCAAGAAGAGTAACCTCAGAAGTCCTTATAATTTCTGTCAAATTTGTCTGCCCACTTGAGGCATATGCTTCAGGCGACACCAAATCAGAAGAAACATCTGTTGCCATCTCACCGTGTTTAACTAGATGGATTATGTGGGATGATGCAATTGCAGCAGAGTTTGTTTGCTCAGCCACTAAAATTTGATCCCCTGGTCCGCAATTTGTGGAAGCCACAACATTCTGGTCCTGCACCTATAAAAAGTTAGTTTTCACATAGAAGATGCATTTAGTACCTGCGTACTTTTATTTTGCATGCATCATACGGCAATGACAACCAAAAGATTCCTCAGAATTGCAAAAATATAATGTTAAGATATTTGCTTTCCTGTAAATACAGGAAAAGCTCCTCTAGAAAACTTCACAAAAGGACAAGCAATATAAGACAGACTATCAGAATAATGTTTTGACCATCCGAATAAGTAGTGTTCATACAGGAAGAAGCAATAAACCTTGATTTCACTGTTCTGTTCAAATGAATTCAGTTTTAAGGCATTATGGAAATGGGAAGAAATTTGTTGCAGGCTCTGATCTCGTTGGGAAGCTACAGGCTGATCTTTGTCGGTCGACTGAAAAACCAAGGAAAAATTAAGCTATATTCAGCATCACAGACATAATCAAGGGAGGTAAAAAATCAATAAGCATCATATAAAGTTTCAAAACCTGTGTCTCCCCAGAAGATGTTTCATCATAGCTTGTGGTTCCTCCCCTTGGCGGATATGTACATCCAAATAGTTTCAGAACTTGTCCATAATAGAATTCTCATAATATACTTTGCATCCAATCTCAAGGAATTTTGATCAGCTTGAGATGAGGAAGGATCATCCTGGATGGGACTTGTGAACCCTCTGATGCATCCTGGAACAAGTAGCGTTCTCCCAATAATTATCACCAATCATGGGTCAATATGGTGAGATAGTGTGAATATTGGAATACTCTGATGATATGATACATATGGAATGATGAATATGAAATCCTGCTGTTGCATGAATAGGTGATACTGTGACTGTACTGAGTGAAAATGTCCAACCTGTGGTGCAACTGAGTGGGACACTCCTTGCTGATGCAGGACAAATGGATGCAACGCAGCCACTTGACCAGGTGAGAGGTAGGAAGGCATCCCAAGAAGAGATGATGGAGCAATAGGGACACCAGGAATATGATCGGTCTAAAAATCACAAACATGTAGTCAATTTTTCATCATGTTTAAATGTTCAATCTATAGGGAAAATATTCACAGGGCATACAAAAGTCATCAAGTATAACAACCTGATCATCACAATTCTATAATAAACGTATATGTGGAAATTTTTTATGACTTAGCATTACAATATTGACTCCTTAAAATAAGTTTCTCCACATGCTACTATTCTATTGAACATCTTGATAGCAAATACCTAAACTACACCAAGGTTTTCTAAGTATCATAGAACATACTTCCCCATCAATGACAGGCATTCTATATCACCACCTTAATAACTTCATCTATGCACCATGCATCTGCAGTTCTACATTACTACTTCCTCAATGACAAG